CCCGGTCTCAATTGATCCGTGCTGGACGCTCCCTGATTCCCCTAGGTCAAGGCTTTTCCTGAGCGTTTGCTCCTTCTCACGAAGTCACGGAGTCGAAGTCTCACTGAGATTTGCGGATTCGCTCGGGGGCGAGCGCAGGCCCCATTGAAACGATTCCCACTTCTAGGGCCAGTTTATTGGTCTTGCAATCGATATCCGTTTAAGCGGCTCTATGTATCGATTATGCTCTATACTCTCTTTCTCGAGTTTTCTCCAACCCCGCACGTATACTCGAAGAACAGACGTCAGCTCTGGACGCGTGTCGCTTCCGACACGCTTGAATCTTCTTCCGTGTTGTAAGTATCAGGTGTCGTCGTCCGCCAGCTCGTCAACGAGGTTGAATGGTTCAACCTCGCTCTGGCTTCGAGAATACCGGAGAGGTCGAAGCGCTCAATGCTGTCCGTGATTCCGGCAAGAAAATTCGCTTACCAATGCGACGGAATTTTCGGAAGAGATCCGAATTTCGAGCATCTATCCAGATTGTCAGGAAAAGATGCAGATGTTTTCAAATATGCTGTTGTTTCGAATGCCGATGTTGAGCGATCTTTCTCCATGTACAAGAATCTTCTCTCGGATCGTCGCCATAGATTAACGCCCATAAATCTGAGAAGGCATCTTTCCATTCAATTCAACTGCGATATCCTCTTCGATGAATAAAGTGACGAGTTGGGTTTCTTCCATTATCTAACGCTCCTGATTCCCTTCTGGTCATCAAACTTCAAGCGTCCGGTTTTTTGTCCGGTTCAGGCCTCGATGTCCGTCCGGAAAATGTCCGGTTTTTCCCGGATAAATGTCCGGGTAAATGGGAACTCTAAACATGAGTCTACACAAAGCCGCGGTTCTTGCAGACAACTCATCTGACCGCTGTTGTGAACAGAATCCCGCGTGAATTTTTATTAGCTACGTTTGCCTGGCCGGCGGACGTGTCTCGCAATGCTGTGCTCGGACTAGATCACGAAGCGGCTTAGAAACACCGTGGAGTCAACCCGAGCGTTACCCTACCACCACCTTTTCCCCAAGCAACTGTTTTCTGTTGACACGGCGCGGCGAGCGAGCTAATTCGAGCAAATGCATTCCCACAGACGCCCAGCAATCGTCGAGAAGCTCCGAGACGGACAGTTGACTCGCGACGGAACGGAAATACGCGGAGGTGCGAGTGAGTTCAAGGAACAACTACGGTATTGTATAACGGAACCAACCGCTGGCCTCCGCTACACAAACAGCTTTCTCCACGACTTTTGTACCACGAACGACGGAACTCCGCCAGCGCTTCGGCAAGCCACCAAACTGGCTTTCCAGTCGACTGGCTCGCCGCGAACGCCAAGCGGAGCGTGCTCCGTCCGATGCACGGCTGTGTACACAGGACCGTAGGCATTTATTTACATTTCTACTCCTCGGCGTCGCCGACGACGTTGCCGGCGTCCTCAACTACGAGGCGCTAAAGTTTGCGCAACCGCGAACGCGCCAATCAGCTGCTCACTGACTGGCCTGCCGCTCAGATGGCTAGTTGTTTTCCACTGGTGAGCGCGGACGCCATTTGACCGAAAGTCGGAAGTCGGACGCACTGCGTCGGATATCCCGAAGATTCATGACCTCCGACTCCTCCGAATCAGTCTCTGTCGCCACCGCTGCCGCTGGCTCCCTTTTCCCGAGTACCCTCGCTCCCTTGATCGCTGTGGTTGGAACTGGTTTCGAGTCGAAATTCTTTTGTTCGCCTCCTTTTCCCATAGACGCAATGCTCCGGTCACAAGTGTCTGAAGAGGAACGAGGGTGGATGACAACGGCCCAGACATCGACTTCGGGCGTCATTCGCGGTCTCACGCGGAAGCTCTCGTAGCTCGAGCCGAGTGATGGAAAACAATTCAAACTCGTGCATATGGAACGCTGTGCATCGAGAGCAACTGGAAGATCAAACGAATTAGGGGCACGTCGCATCTTCTCCAACGGTACTTCTCCGAACGACGAGCGAATGTCTCCGCGGGGGAAAAAATCAAGCATTGCGTCGCTCACGAGTCTGCGAGTCGGAACCGCGGTTCATTCAGTTAAACCTAGTGGTTTCCGGACTCGAGCTCGCCCATCCCTAGAGTGGAGCCTGCGGCCCCCAGTGGGGGGGGGGAGGGTTTAACTTAATCTCGTTAAGCGCTCAGCTGGAGAGATCGATTTCTCGTACGAATTCTCCCGACACTCTCCAAAAGGCGATCCGAGGAGAGGCTATTGGCGCTCTCAAGAATCGCCAACGGGCTGATCCTCGGCGTCCGTCGCGAGGCCGCCGGTTAAGCCAGGTGATGAATGCGGTAAGACCTTCACGTGGCCTTCGGAGGCGTTCGCGGCTTGCATCACTCTCAATTATATGCAAATGCTCTCCGCGTATTCACCCCTTCGTTCGCCGGCTCCTGGCAAGGCTGCTCGCTGAGTACTCCGCCGCGAAGACCGCCGCGCATCGCTGTATTCCAAGCAGACTGATCCAAAACCTCAAGCGCAGCGTGGGCAATCATCTCGGTCACTTTTCCTAATACGCAAACAACAAACTCGTCTTATATGAATCTCCGGTGGGATTTCCTGAGGAGCCCGCCATCGAGTCTGACATTGCTCGATCGGAATCGTCTCAGGTTGTCTAGCCCGTCATTATTCCCCCTCCGCCACTGCCAAGGTCACGAGCAATGATTCCACTAAGAGAAGGACGATGTAGCCGACTGAAGTAGCGAACTTGGAGTACCACTCTCTGGAAAACGCTCTCAGATGATGACGTCATTGAATCCGTCTCATTTGCGCGAGGGAACTCTCCGAGCCCCGTGCTTTCTCGAGCCATCGGTTTTCCGGAAATCCTCAGAGAGTGTTCATGAGTACTAGGTAATAGAAATCTGGAGCAGACGCAGAGCCCCCCGTACGCCTTTTGCTTGGGCTCTTCAGCGCAACGAGAAGCCTGGGCGACCGAATCAGGCTCGGGCGGCGGACTATGATAGACGTGTGTAGGCGTAGCGGGTGTTCCCCTCCCGCTTGCTTCGGAGATGCCATTTCCCTATACCTTCCTTATCAGAAAAATGCTCGCCTATAGAATCCCGATGGGAGATCCTCACTCCGCAATATTTGGGGCTCATCAGAAAGCATACGAACTTACCCAATCGGCTCGCTGGGACGGCATGCCGGAAACGCCGGCGGCATCCTCCGCTGCCGTGCTTTTCATTCATGACGAGCGATCCAATTATCACGCTGCACATATCATCAGCGTGTTATCGAATCAAATCAGGGGTCAACAGATTTTATCTTCCCCAAGCGTGTCACCGATCTGAGAATTGTGCTGATTGTTTATTCGGCCTAGTTTGACACACAGCAGACCTTGGTCGTTCGGCCTTCCGGTCACTCGCTGTCGGGCGGGAAAAGAACGCTGAAGATAGTTGGATCAGCGGACGATTCAGGAGAGTGCGGCTGTCCATTGGGGACATGGGTCACCTGCTATAGTCCGTCGAGTGAGGGGAATACACCCTGGGCAACTTTCTCCACGCGAAATAGGACGCTGTCGGCAGCATCGGTTTCGTTTCCCGACTCGACTTCAGCTGATGCCACTGACGACGCTACTACGACTACTACTGCTGCGGTGGCGGCGGCGGCGCTTCACCTGCACGCCAGCCAGCGATCCTTGAGTTACTCCTTAATCCAGTTCTCTCTTTGAGCGAGGGCGTTCTCCTCTCGACGTAATTTCAACTTGTGACCTGACACCATCACGGCCAACGGTGTCTCTGACGGAAAGTATCAGATCCCCACCAGTCTTCTCTTGGTCCTTTTCTCCTCATGCTGTCGCCATCGTCGTCGCCGCCGCCACCGCTGCTCCTCCGTTTCAACCTCCTCGAGATAATTAGAATCACGCGAACTCGCAATTACAAGCTCTGGATTCCCGGCAGTTGACGGAATTCTTGCTTCAACAGATTTGAGACGGGGTTTGCGAGTAACTTTTCTATGGAGAGGTTGCCCAGCATCCCACCACAAACGGATCTTGTTAGTCGGAGCATCCCGCCGTAATCTGACTTTGCGTCGACGCCAAATTAGCTCCCGCCGCGTTGGAACGCGGATACCGACTTAATTCTGTTGGGCGTTGTCGCGCTCGGCGGAATTCAACTAAATAAGGAAACACGAGGAAAAAATGAAGAGCGCACCAATCGGGCTCAGGAGGTGAGATCCTCATATGAGTAGGTGCATCGTGTGCCGCGCATTCGTGACACGGAAAACACGATCTGATGGCGAGGTGTCCGGCAACAACGTTCCGATAAAAAAAACTCGGTGGAAAGCCCTGACGTCGGTCTCATCGAGGGGCTCCATCCGCAGCGAAAGAGATCAACGCGGCTATCGAGCAGGTAAACTCCGATCTGCGGTGAGCGGTGGAGAACGAGGGTGGAGCCGGAGAAGGTTCTCTTAATGGCTACACTATTATCAGAATTATCTCTGCTTGTTTAAAAGAGCAGATTAAAGCACGTCCGGAGTATCACGCACACTGCGATGATAAAACCGGCGCAAATCCTCCAGTTGAGACGTCACCCATAATGATCGGCTCAATTTTCCTTGATAACGTCATCTCACCCAAAGAGTGAGGTCGCTAGTCCGATTTCACTGCTCGATCAGCGGCTTCGTAGCTGTCCCCGAAGGAGAAAGGTCGGAGCCGATATCTACGATTTCCACGATTCCTCCGAGCGGGATAGAAGATGACATCAACATCTGAACCTCAATCTGCCGATTCCGCGGGATGTTCTCTCGATGAAGCCGCACTCGATAGATTCTCGAATGCAGGTATCATAAACTTCTCTCTCGATTGATGTTTATTCGTTCGATTCAAGACGATAATTAGTTAGGTGGAGGTGCCCTGACCAAGCGAAACCGCACGCGACTTCGAGGGACCCTCTCTCTTTGGAGGAAGGGCAGGACGGCGTGCTGTATGTACTTGGAACATTTGCCAAGACCCACTCAGAACAGCTGCAGACACCGAAGGTCGCGTTGGCCGTTCACGCGAGCGATTTCTCTCGTGCTCTGCCGGTGCTTGGGCGCTCTGATGAAAATTCGGTCTGGCGAACAGTGATTGCTGGTGGAGGACTGAAACTGGGTGAACTCGTAAGACGTAGCTCAAATCTTGCGGAGAACATTCAAAGAAACGTGATGTTGTTGAAGTTTTACATCCTCGTCACCGTACTAAGTAAGTTCAAGCCGTCGGCAGGATCGTTGCCTCGATGGAATCCCCCATAGATAAGAGCAGTCCGTGCTGACCCGTGGGGGCGGATGTAACGGGGGAAAGCTCGCTGCTAATTCGATACTAGACAATGCTCGAAATACTCCGGCTCCCGAGACTTTTTGCGATTTCTAATTCAGGTCGAGGCGAGAAAGTCAGGTCGGAGCAAAAGCATGCGAATGGTCTCAGCATCCGATTTCCTCGGCTGATGAGGCGAATTTCTAGCAGGGAGGAGCAAGAATTCTTTTCTTGACCATCATACGCAAGTTCGATTCCATGATCTGCCACCTGGACTTCAATGGAGAACTATCAGAACTGACTCACCGGAGCCACAAAATTTTTGTCTACGGATTCGGAGTGCTCCTCGGGGAACTTGCAGTGGATGGAATCTATTAACGCCCTCGCGCCGATAGGCCGCGGATTCGACGAGCAACGCCGGAATCGATTTTGTTTACCTACTTTGTTACGAAACGTCATGACGTCAGGCGAACTTTTTTAGGTTTTCGGTCGATTTCCGCCTCGCGGAGGCTCACGGAAACGATTCACGCAGACGCACCCAAATTTGTATTAGATTTTACAAAACGATGCTCGGGTGGGGTCGACTTCGATTCCTGCTACAGAGGAATCTCCTCACAACGAACAACGCTACAACGAATTTTTGGTGGAACGAACACTTCTTCCCTCTACTCGGGAAGCTCTCCATAGAGATAATGATGGAAAACCTTTGTTGGAGCGATTCACGACAACGAACATATTTCCCCTTCGCTCCCGCGTGGTCCGTTGTAACGATATTTCACTGTATAACTTTTGAGCGAAGAACATTATCAAACCCGATCAAGTGTCATGTCGGTATGAGCGAGAGTCAGTTTTTTGGTACTAGAATAACCATGAATCGGCTCCCCTGGCGCTTCGATACTCTCGAGTGTACAACAACTTCCCGCCGCGAAGCTCCGACGATCGCACGACGAGAGTTGAAAGGGATGACGAGCCGCTCACTCCGATGAATGTGGATCGCGACCGTATACAGTACGTAGATGACAACTGAGTCCGACCGTATGAAGTCAACAAAACTCTCGTATCGATCAAATCTTCGTGATTCACGCTATACCGCACCGATGGCAAACGAATCCATTATGAAAGATCACAGAGACGCGATATCTATATCTCCGCGCCTGCATCGACATGGGTGCGATCCGGAAAGGAATCGGCCCGAATGTGTACAATCGACTTGCACAGAATGTTGCATGTGATCGATCTCTTAGCGGTCTCAATGGAGCCGTGGAATTTGACTGCAATACTCAAAGGCAGAGGCGCAGCTCTTGTGACAGATAGGCTCATTTCAAGCTAATTGACTTGAGCCTCCGGGAACCTATTCCTCTTCTCTGAACCGCGGGAGATCAGGAAGCAGGAGTCAGAAGGTGAAGGCGGAAAGAAATTGAACGCCTGAAGAATTCTTAGAGAGGATGTCCTGACGGATATTCAGGGCGGGACCACTCGTCCAAGTAAGGTGTTCCTGTGTCTTCCCTTGTACAATCGACAATGGAACAAACATCGGCTGAAGAGGCCCCATCCGTCTGGTTGCGTCATCACTCCCCACAGGAGCACGCGGATACCCTTTCCCGGAGGGATGCTCAAAAACTGAGGATCCCGCTCCCGGCTGAATTCAATTTCGAGGATTAACCTTCTCGCAATTCGTATGAAACGATTCCCGTCGCAAAAAGGGGTGATAGAGTTCCGGAGGTCGGAGACGCAACCTGTGACATTTGTCTGCATCTAAAAGCGTGCAATTCTTTCGGAGTATCGCGTGAGAGAGATTCACCCTGGCCGCCCCCGAGAAAAATGAATGATCGAAATCCACAGGCTCTATTTGATGAGTTGAGGATAGAAGCACGGAACCGCTTGCTATCGGGGACGTTTCGAAGTCCAGCGTGAAGGCGGGATCCCCCCGCGATGATCAACTAGGGACACGGCAGATCGTTGGAAAGCCACGGGGCTTTCGACTTGGACGAGGTGTCCAGGTTCGCCAGACCTCGTCTCGCTCCCCGCCCGAGTCCCTTGGGGGATCAGACCGAGATTTCCAGTCAGCTCCGGAGTTCGTGGCTGTATCATTGTTTTCAGCCACCGGAACTGACCTCGCTACCTAATCTCCTTGCCGTAGCACTGATCTGATCGTCTGACCTTAGCGGGGAGAAAGTCCATTCAGGCCTCACACGGTGAGCTGGGAGCGCGCTTCCGAACGAATGCCGGTGGCACTCTGAAGCGAAATCGGGATTTGGTGCGTGTTGGCTCGCTGGAGGCTCCGGGAGAAACCTTCTCTGTAGTTCCAAATCTCTCGGCGTCATCCCGAGTCGATCCCGCAATGCTAGCAGGACAATGAGTCGGATGAGTTCCGAGGCTCGAAAACCGGCGTGACTTGATGATTGTGGCTCAGAGCTGAAGGGTTTGTCCAGCAAGACATGGAGAAGGAACGGCGACTGGCTCCCTGCAAGAGGGTCCCGATCGTACGGGACTCATTTTTATTGTCGTAGACAATAGTTCCGACGGTGCGGCGGCAAGAATGGCGAGGGATGCTGCGTTGACGACAAGATTCGCCGGCTAAGCAAGCAGTTGATAAGTTTATCATATGAACAAAAACAAATATCAGCCGAACAAGGAAGCCACCGCACCTTTATGCTCACACAGGAAATGCCCGAAGGGGCGTCTGCTTAACGACGACAAAACTTTTTTCTCCTCCACCTCCCTTTTTTAGCAAGTTGCACCTACCCACTGATCGAACATCACTCGATTCCTCTCGCCCAAACAGCGATTTCCTGCCTCGCTTGTAAAATGCTTTGTGCTTCCAGCGATCGAGTTATAGACTACTATACTCGTCGCTTACTGATAACTGGTTGTCATCGTCTCGTTTCCCACTCTACCCGGCCTTGTTCCCATCCTGACTGATAACGTGGGGAGCAATCACATCTCGAATGAGACAATGTTTGTGGGAAAACAATAATAAACGCTGAAGTAGACGAGCCTCGACCGAGGAAGGGACTCAGGAGGTCTCCCTCATATGAGCTCAAATATCGGCCCGGTTCGTTTGGCTGAAGACAGGCTCAACTCCAGAATGGATCAGGATCGAACACGAAAACAATGATTCGTCCGACCCCCCGTGGCTTTGATCACGAAAATAACTCTCGGAGGATCCTCCGGCAGACACCCGGAAATCGAACGAAGTCTCGGGAATCTAAGGAAGTCCCGCATAATCAGATTCGTCTTGTTGTGAGGAGCGATAGCGGATCCGGTCCCTGGAGCGGAGCAGGTCGACTGGCGCGGCGTTTTTGCTTCGTCAACTTCTGCAGAAGATGGCTTCAGTTTCCCTATTAATAGACGCCATTAAGACCAATGGATACGCTGGTCCATCTTCGGCCCGAATTATATGCGGCCCCTCGGCCGTCTTTCTACCGGCCGGCGTTCCCCTCCGACAAACCCGCAGCTGCTGCTGCTGTTGGGCCGTTACTCGCGTGGATATACAAGAACGTCGGCGCGCATCTACAAGAGCATGGATGGTGGGCGGTGGATATGCATACCCGATGGAGCTTCTGCGCTGAAGAGCTAATCAAGCTCCGCGCTCTTCTCCTTCAACCGTATCGAATACATAGAGGTGTACTCGCACACCAAATATTCGCGGCTATGGCGGCAATTGCACGGCAGCGATAGCCAACTGCAGGGCAACGACGGGACGGGTTAAGCAATATGCACATATGAGCTTGTATATGTATGAATCGTCTGCTCGTTCATGGGAGACTATTCTCAGGTTCGACCGGTGTGTATCGTGAGAACTAAGAACAATGGAGTTCACGTGAGAATCGTGAAGGCAATCGAGAGAGTCATCATCGTGCGCTTATTCGATCCTCGCGAAGGGAAAAAAACCTCATGAGGTCAAAATTTCCGGCTCTGTCCGGTCGCGGGTCCTTCCACTCACTGACTTCGGGTATAGAGGAATAATATGACGGAAAATGAAAGTTCCGATCTGGGTGCATGCGGTCGAAGCAATTATTCGCGCTCGTACCTCCCACAATAATTAGAGAGAGGGAGAGCGAGGGAAAAGCGGAGAAACCGACGAGGTATACCGCATATTTATTCGTAGAACGCTTCCGCCACATGCATGGACACGGAACGTGAATCGCTGCGACGTCAGGAATTGACATTAAGGCCGGCGATGACGAAGAACGATGGGGTCGTGACAAAGAATTAATGCTGCCCGCGGAAAAAGATCATCCCCATCGCTTTCCCCGCTATCGTCAGTCTACCTGCTTCTCCGTCTGAGGAGCTCATTGATCGTGTCAAACTTTTCAAGACGAGATCAACCTATCACACGAAAGCGGGACCAGTCCTCGTTGCAGCTTGAACTCTATTCGTAACGAGGAGCACAAATCTTCGTCGTTTCACAGACTGGGCCTCGTCGAGTCCGACTCGATGAAAAGCCCAGGAAGTCGCGAACTCGATTCCGATTGCGGATACACTTAGTTACAATATGGAGCCGGCACTGTGTCGCACGGTTCTCGCTCTCATGGGCTTCCCAGTGATTAAGGCTTATTGAGATTTGCCGAAGAGGTATTCGGGTCTCTCCACGAGCAATTATACAGAACAACTCTCAGAAACAATTGATTACGTCGGGCCTCGGTTCCTCCTTTTTATAAGAGGAAGCTTTTCACGTCAATCCGAGCACACGAATGATGTCATTTCCTACTCACCGATGCATTGGCGGAGAATCGTCGCAAACGAGGGAATTCCTTCCCATCGAACGAATCTCGCAAATGGAATAGCAGTCGGAATTATCCCTCGCCATCCGCAACTGGTAGTATGTTGGGAAAATACCTCCTGATTTCATTCATTCAATTTCGAAATCGATTCTCATCTGTTCGAGTACCCCGAATCTTCAGCGGGGAAGAATCCGCGTCTCGCGTGGGCTGTGTGCAGGGAGAGGTGCGTAGGACATACTTGATCGAATATCGATCGCTTTGAAATCGTATTCCTAATAAAACTTCCACCGGCACTCAGCTTGGACGTGCGTGACCGCCGTAAAAAACGTTCTAGGAAGTGAGGTTGCCCCGCTTGTCCTAGCGCTCCCAGTGGCTTAGAGTCGAGAACCGCGCGGGAGATCGAGAGATAGCGGGTGACGAAGAGTGTCCCTCTGTCGGAAGACTTTTGTAAGCCGTGTTAGTCGTTTCAATTACAAGCCGAGCCAGTGAGCGCTTTGCTAAGCCTAAGATATGAACACGACTAAAGAAAACACTGTACACGGAGGAGCTGCTCACCGTGGCCATTTCACCAAGAGCGGCTCAGCTTCCAGCTCACTGTCAGCCCTAGCGTAAGGATGACCGACCGACCGACCAACGAACCGAGTAAGGCTCAAGATAAATTTTATCTATTCATCACGCCGATGGACCAATGCTCCTCCTCCCAGACAAACGGATTCGTACTCCTAATCCCGATCTCGCGCTATGAAGATAGGAAAACGAAATCTCCCGGAATACAGATTTCGGCGCAGGCCAGAGCTGCGCAGTCGGCGGGTCGCAGGTGAAACGTTCCAACAGCTTCTCATGACGTAATTGAGCATCGCTGAGCGGTATGAGATCATCGGGATCGAGGAGTTCGAAGACGGCCCTTATTCGAAGAGTCGTCCTCCCTCCACTGTCAGAGCATTCCACCAACTACACTGCTAACAGAGTCTGCATCCCGCGACACCCGCTGCATATCTCACGATCCCAAATCTTGAAAGCGGTTCCGAAATTCCCGAATCAGACTTGAATAAGAAGCCATATCAGCTGCGGTTTGAGCGCAATGAATGTTGGTGCTTTAATCAATACTCTAATTAAATTCGAGTTCTGGTCTAGCGAGGTGTATGATGAAAGCCCGCACGATTTTCATCAATTGCTTGTTACGAAAACATCGGTACGAAGGTTTCTCGGTTCTAGACAGGTTGAAAGTCCCTTGAGTCCATATTTCTTGGCTTCCATTCATTACTCCGAGGCGGCTTGCCGGCGGCTTCGAGCGCACAGGAGATAATAATTAGGAAAAACGGATTTGTCTTCGAGATCGTCGTCCCCGTCGTCGTCTGGGTGTGGTAGAACGAGCGACCCGACCGAAGCTACGACCGGCGGTCAGGTAGGCACCTGTCAACCTACACCTGGTCAGACTCGACATCTTCTCACTCTCGTTCTTTGTCTTCCTCCTCATCTGGTCCTCGGTCTGTCTCCTGGGCATGAACATCGTGGGTACACCACGACAAGGTCAATGATGACCTGACACTGATTATCACCCAAGCAGGTGGAACAGACCGCCGCTGTCCACACTCCTTTAATGAACACGGTCCTCTGGGAACAAATGTCCTTCAACGATTGTGACCAAGTTATAGACCAGTGAAGCCCCGCCGCGGTCAATCCCAATGGGGATCTTGGCTGATATTCGCACCGATTCGGATGGTGGCGGCCGTAAAGGAACGTTTGTCTCGAGGCATCCCACGTCAATGTCATAGTTTGGCCAGAGAGCTGGGGCCGTTCATGCTGACACTCATACATACATGATTCTGCAATGCCCGCGGACTGTTCGAGCGAAACCAACGCAGCAATCGCGACAGACCCAACGGGTGACCGACGCCATCAAGAGACCGCTCCGGTTGTCTACAAATCCGAGTTCGCGCGAGAGCGAAGGCTGGATCGAGAAGCCGTACACCTGAGGCAGAAGGGACCTCGAGTGGGTCTCGACAGGGTTTGGAAGCGGAAAATGGAAACTACGTGGCTATGAAAACCCAATGTGCTTCCACTCATCGAGCCGGACATTAAGATAGCTCGACGCAGTCAGTTAAAAATCGTCCCTTAGTGTCCTGTCACCTCCGTGCTGATAACGAATGTGTTTCTTTCAGGCGTTACTTCAGCCAACTGGGAGCAATGGTGGACCTACGACGGGATTTCAGGTAGTCAATGTAATGAATGTAGCTTTGTCAGCCTGATTTTGACGACTCGACTGTTCTCAGTCTCAAGACTTTCAAGCGGATCAGTTCATATACGAACAAACGCTGCAAATCCAATTATTTTCCTCTGCCCTATGATTTCTCCTCGAGCCTCGATGAGAAGTAGAGCATTTTTTTCTGATTTTCCACCTTGAAATTTGGAAGCTTTGGGAACTTCGCTCATTCATTGCCTCTTAGCGTCTATTCCTCCGAGTCGCGTATCCCAGTTATTTGTCGCCGAATTTTAGAGCGTGGCAGGGAGGCCGGCCGGCCGGGCCGCCACCCGACAAGCCAGCTCCTTTGACTTCTTCCGTTCGGGGGGACGAGATGGATGCTCCACTCGTCTTGACTTTGCCGAGCAAGAACTGAGACGAGCAGGCGAGCGAGCAAGCAAGAAGCCGACCGTCCAACCGACCGAGCGAGACTCTCTTACCATCGAGCGATGAGCGCTTTTATGGCTGGAAGCCTCCACGTCGGGGATGCAGGGTCGAGAGCGGGTGACGCGGAGAACGCTCGAGGTCAGGCAATGATTGTTCCCGGAGTGCGTGGTCCTCGCCGGCCGCGCTCCGGTCAATAAGCTCGGGGACTTCCCGAGTTTTCTGCATCTCTCAGGGAGCATTTTAATCTCTTCCTCCGAGGAACGGGTTTTATACCCATTCGCGCAAGTCCTGCTTTAAGCCAATGAGGTCAACGATGAGCGGAATTTCCGAATCCGCGAATCTGACCAGATTGCGAATCTGCGGCGGATTCGTAGGGTGCGAGTTCACTTTGCATGCATCTGCCATTCCGCTCGTATTCTTGCGAAACAAGCGCAAGTACGGCTGTCAGCACAGAATTGAGCGACTTCGCGAAATTGCATAGCGCGCCAAGAGGGTACCAATAAATGCAGCGATGGTGCGGCGAACGGTTTCTAGCGAAGGCGGTACCTTCTCCTTGCCGCCGTCGTTCAACGAGCAAGAAAGTGGTATTGCGTTGATGGTTGACCAAAGGGCTGGCCGGGGCTCGGACATTCGCTCGCTCTACTGCTCCTTGCGGCCGTTCGGAGTTCTTTTCCACGCATTAACTCGAAGCCTTATGCCGATCCTCTGGTGAGAGCAGCAACGACTCGGAGCGCCATCAGCAGAGCAGGCATAGACCACCACCCCACCACGATCAGAATTCAGGAGTTTTCTCGCCGCACCAACTCCCGAGTCGAGTTTAGCTTTCCTTGGCGCCTCAATGTCGCGACTCGGCCCCCTCCCTTTTCTTCTGCATGTCTGTTCGTCCGCTCGGAGGCTGAATGGTTGGTCTCCCGGTGGGGTGGATGGGTGGGTGACTTGGACGGACAAGGGCGGGCTGAGGTGGGGTGATGAAGGGCATCGACAAGCTCTGTTCATTCCGCAATCTTCTTCGTCCCTCAACGCTCGCCCCACTGCGAGCCCTGCTCGTCCTCTGGTACCTCCGTTCCTTGCTCGTCTCTGTCGGCCATGAACAGCGAGCACTCTGGCTAATCGAGTTAGCGATTGGCGAATTGTCCGCTGCTCACTCGCTGGCGACTGAGGGGAACTGGAAGATGATCTCGATGTCTCTCTGTGCGTTCCAGTGTTTCCTTCTCGCTGCTGCTACTGCTTACACCGCCTCTGCACCAGCGGCAACAGCGGCAGCGGTCCCGTATCTGACTCGTCCACTATCTCTCCGTGAAGCAGAAGCTAAGACATCCTTATCGGGTGCCTGGGAATATTTGCCTCCCCGCTGCTACGACCTTCAGTGTCACTTTAGCGAAGTAGCTAAACGACGATTGGCCGTGGAAAAAAATCTCTGCCGATCATTTGACGAACGGACTGATTGTGAAAACGGTGTCGCAACGCTTCCCCATCTCCATCTCTTCTATTTCACTTGATACCCTCCGAATTTGAGAATGGGAAGTGGGCACGTCTCTAAACAGGAGTGAAGAACGGCCACGGGTCGCAACTCTTAATTATTTCGTTGCTGATACTGATGCCGCTGAGGCGGGACTCCAGAGCAGTCCCCATTCGTCGTGGGTGTCGTCGCTCCTCTCGAATGCCTCCTTCCGATGCGTCCGTGGTAGGAGTCGCTGCGTCAATCCTATTTGGCTCAATCGCGGAAATGGCACTCCTTAGGAAGGCCTGTTGTCCTTTTCCGAAAGAGAAGGGGGAGCGACTCCTGATGCTCTGCTGCTCCCTACCGTTCTCCTGACGGTCTCCCCTCCCTTCCCGCTAGGTCTCTGGGGGGATCCGGTCCACATTGAAGGGAGCGGGACGGTTAGTGAAACGCACTTCCCATCGCCCCCCGATGCTACTTGCTTTCAATGTAGCGTCAACTCTGAAGCGGAGTTTCCGCTGAGTCATCCCGAAGGAGGCGAAGATGTCTGTCGATTGATACGGATGTGCGTAGCAATAAATTTCCTGGCTCAATGTCGCCGTCTCCTCGTCGACGATGTACCTGGCGGCTACTAATCGAACGTTCGAGTCTCCTCTTTCTCCGTGAGGGAGAGGGATGTAGGTCCTATCATGTCGTCCGGTGTGCTCTTCCGCCGCCGCGGCGGACGACCGAGGCGCTTTGTAGGCAAAAGGTATATCGGTCAGCAACAAGCAGAATGAGACCGACGGTGGGATCCCGAGGGCAGAACGGCGCGCCAGTGTGGCGGCGACTTGTTGCCCAGATACCCGATCGCAGGGTCAGGAAACCCTTCCCCCACTGACTGTTTGGCGGGCCAACTCGCTTCGTACGACGTTTTAGTAATCCGAGCTTGACGACAAAGCGTTCTTAGCGCAGTAATGGCAAACATGAACCAACAATCATCGTCGGCGTCGGTGCTCGCCCGGGCCTGACCCAGCTCCCCGTCTTCTTTTTCATGTTCTTGGCAACTTGAGACATCGCCGATGGCCTCTGCATTATGCTCTACGCTCTGTCCGTGCAGTGCCTGCCCTACGCGGCTGGGTCTTTGCTCTCTACTCCTGTCCAGCAGTCCCGGTTGCCGGCGCATAGATCCCACCCCGGATATCGTCAGAGTATTGCTCCGGCCTCGGTGCATGTTCTCGGACTCATTCTGAGGCTATGGAAGAAACGGAGCCGGTTCTGCAGATTGCAATGCTCCTTGGTTTCGCGCTTCGAGAACTGTCGCTAGACTCGAAGACGGCCGCGAGACAATGACGTGAGGGACAGTGTGTGTTTTGGGTGGTTTGCATATCCGTCAGAGGGAATGAGGGGCTGTGGGGGAGGATCGCTCGTCGGATCGAATAGTATTCAGCAGAAGGAGTTCATGGATCAATGTGCTTTTCACTCGATTAGCGATACGATTCGAAAACTTACCCGAGTCTCCCTTCTACCGGGACTCACTCAACTAAACCAGCATGCCCGCTATGTATCATGACGATTTGCTGTGTCATTGATATTCTTCCTTATTCGTGCTCCTGAGTAGCTCCTGGTCACCTCTGTTCTCGCCATGCAAGTCGCTATTTTTCAAAAGAACATCGACTTGGAAAAATGGGTGGAGGGAGCGGTCCGTACGTGGTCTCGCTCTCTGGATCATTGGTCGCCGAATTCCCTCGTCTCGACACAGAACTTCTGTGAGCACGCGCCCCGTATTGAGCTGACCTATCGGTCGGGAGTTCCGTTTTCGGTGGATCGTTAAGCGGTGCCTGGGACTGGGAGCTGGGAGTTCGCCGGAGACTTGAGAATTTTCAGTGCCTCAGAGGCAGTGCTTGTCTTTGGTGCGCAGCAGAGTACGATCGGGGCTGATCTACATGACAATGAGCGTTGCTAAGCAGCGACGCTCTGATTCGGAGTGTCAGAAGGGTTTGCAAATCTCGTTCTTCGGGGGTTGTCGCGGTTTTGCGGACGAGACCTCGGTGAATTTCCGCCCTAATGAGGTGTGCCTACGGGGAAGTCCGGTCCGGAGGAGTGGGCTTCGCCGTCCTACTCCGAGGCAGTATATTCTGAAGTCGAGAGTCACAGATGCATATGCCGGGTTATGAGTTATGACACGTCTTTCATTAAGATCGGGTCTTGTCATCGAAAAAGAAGAACTCCCGCTGCGGGATGGACAATGAATTGCTCGGAATTCGGAATCCCGGATGTGCACTGGAAGGGGACTCTTTGCATCACTTGGAAGTTCTCAGATCCGAGGTCAAATCCCACAAGCGTTCCCCAGATCGCAGATCTATTCCGAGACTTCATACGATGCTTCCGCACCAAATGCGATCGCAGAGGCTCAGAAGCACGCCTGATGACACATACGAATAGTTAAAGCACTTAAATTGCGATTTGCGTAGATCCGCGAAGGGACCGAGGCGAGCGACCCAGCTGCCCCAGCGTCCAGCCGGCTGACAGTTGTGGACGGCATATCTCGACGGAACCGGAAACGGCTTCACGCGCCTTCAATCCAAAAGATACAACGAGGCATGCAGCAAGCATCGCAGTAAAAGTCCGAGAACAGCGCATCATTGACAATGTGTGAAGAACGAGAGCGTTTGATGAGATGTCTCAATCCGTAAGGCCAGCGAGCCTCTCGTCCGTTCGTCGCTGTGGACGTCGGCTTTTTCACTATACATTCTAATGATGTGTCTGATGAAGCTCGTCGGCGAGGGAAGCACTCTCTCGCCCCCAGCCCCTCGTTCAAAAAACCGTCCCAGAACTTTGGTGCCTCACATACAACATGGATCGCTTAGGGGACGAGCCGCTCGCTCCAGCAGGCTATGTTTGGGTTGACGGCTAATAATTCAATCGCCGTTTTATCTCACTCAGTCATGGAGGAGAAAGCGACGACAAATGAAATTCGCTCCCGCCTTGTTTCCGGAGCGTTCGCGGAGAATAAGAGAGTATTCTCTGAAGACACGACATGAGCAGATCCGTGTGGAATATTTCCCTGCGGTCAGAGAAATCGCGTGGAGCACTGAGGAAAGACACTACGACCGCCGAGAGAAATCGTAGCAAGATTCGGAGGCGGACTTGTCCGAGAAGTGCCGGAGCCTTTGATTCACTATGCATTGAATTGGGAACGAAGTGGACAAAATTTCTCCCAGAAGAACGAGTCGGGGTAACAACCATGGGATTCTATGCAAAACGCCTCAACTGTTCGGGAGTGTGAGGCTAATCGTCCTCCGCAAGATTTGATGCTCTCCATCAGGAGTGTTGAGAGATGACCAATTTTCAAGGTCCGTTCCTCTCCCTCCCTCTCAATGTTGACGATATTCTGACTATTCCCTAGCGGAGCACAATTAGTACTAGCAAAGCGCCGCGGGAAGAAAGGGGGAACGCGGGCAGAGGCGCTCTCTCACACGACAGGGAGTACTACGGTAGCACTCTGACAGTTTTCGCCGAGATCGAACGAGTTACAGCATCGGTTGACCTCGCTGATTTCCTAATTGCAGGACCAGATTTCTGGGGATTGTTGAATCCCGATTGGCATTTGTGCACCAAGGGACGTCGACAGTCGCCAATTAATATTGATCCTCAACATCTACTCTTCGATCCACACCTGAAATCTCTGCAGGTCGATAAGAGTCGGGTGAGTACGCAAGATGATTGGTTGAGAGAACACTACGCTCTTCAAAAAAGGTGATCCGAACTGTTAGGAACACTCTGATTAACACGCGCATTAATAGAATGTGTGTGCAAGTCGCAGCTGCGCGGCTTGTACCGAATGTCAAACGCAGATGTTTTATGGTGGTTTGTGAAAAATTGAAAAGCGAGCCCAGCTCAAATGATTCGTTACTCAGAGAGAGTTAGGACAAAACACCGTCAAGTCGACATTTGGGCGAGAAAGCTGAGAAGTTTCCGCCCAGTCACAGCAGTGTCGAGCTAGCTCGAGAGGAATCTGCGGAGGGGGAATCCGACCATTAAGACCCCTGCGGTTGTCCGTCTAAGCTCACTTTATTGGGAGTTTGGGACCGGTCTTGATAAATCAACTTCAGAGCTCCCCTTTCAAGTCGTCTTTGCGGGCGTCCCTGAAGCGAAGGCGAAGGCCAACTCGAGTTTAATTGCGAACGAATCGTCAAAAGCATTCCGGAGCCTCGATGTGTCCGTACGCTCTTGTCATTGCCAGGCCGTGCACTCGATGAGTACTGTTCTTCTCCCTATGATCCTCGGCCCTCCCAATGTGGCCACCGAATCCTCCGAGGATCGACACATGTATTTTTCTATCACACACACAATCAGTGATTCTCCTTCATGCATTTTCCAGGTGAGCGGGTCGCTGACCAACACCGGCCATGGCATCGTGTTCAAGGTGTCGGAGTCAGCGTCCGAGCCTTTTGTGACCATCCAAGGCGGTCCTTTGTCATACACGTACCACTTTTACGAGCTCCATCTCCACTACGGGAAATCCGATGATCAGGGAAGCGAGCACACCATCGCCAGCAAACAGTTTCCGGCCGAGGTAATTTCTAGCTCCGGAAAGGTTCAAGATCGGCACTTATCGACGCGAAACTCGACACTTGTACGACCTGTTCCTCGAATGAGCGAGTCATGATGACGACATCCCGAAGAATGATTTTTAGCTCTCCCGGGAAAAGCAAGCGACCGAGTTTTGACAAACAATGAATTTATTCGGTTCGTGGTGTGGATGGGCTACATGAGCTTGAGCTTCCGAGCGGGAAGGACCGTTGCAGACGGTGAATTCTCGATAAGGATTTGGAAAGAAAAACACCGGGCCTGGAATAGGGAACCGAAACAGGATCCCCGCGTAGGCGGTCCGAGTCCTTTGCCGGTCGGTCGGTCGGTCGACCGGCTGCTAAGGTGGACGGACGGACGGAAAAACTGAGTGGGCTTCCCGCATTCGTTCGCTCGCATGCAGCACGTACGTCGTATTCTGAAAAGAGATATTGAGCTCCTGCTTCTTGCTGGTAGCTGCTGGGCGGATGCTTGAAGCGGTGGTATCGAAGGCGGCCGCAGCATTTGAGGAGGGGGGAGGAGACTATGAGGGGAGCAATCCTTATCGGAAACAATAGGCTGACCACTCAGGCATACCCAATTTAATCCGAAAGGCCCACGAGAGATTCGGACTGAAGTTCCTTGAATCCAGACCACACAGAAGCTGATTCGGAACATCTCATGAGCCGATCTGCGCAGCAGCTTTGCAAACTCAAAACAGATGCTAGCCACAGACAGGAACAGAAAATGATACTCCAAAGCGAAATGAGCAAGATCCAGTCTTCGCTCGTTCTACAACAAAGCAAACAATCGAGCCTTAACAGATCAGCCAGTCGAAGAAATCCAATCGATTTCGTACGGGAGTTTCGTTTTGAGCACCGCGATGGAGACGTCGGCGAAACAGCAGCGTCAGACGGATAATATGAGAACAATTGTAGTACGTCTAGCGATGCGGGCGCTAGACAACGTCGAAAACTTCAACGGTGAGCGTGGGGCGGTCGAGCCGAAGGAGAGCCAACGAACCAGGAACAGATGGATGGACGACCGAATGGGGACGAGAGTTCGCTAGGGCATCTCAGCCGATTGACGCATGTTCACTCAGCTGTGGTGATAGAGCAGAGGTGGCGAAAAAAAATCGGATGGAGGAGAACATCTCCGCAAAAATCTAACAGAAGTCTCCCTCTGAAGATCCCTCGCACTATCGCTCGAGCAAGCTCGCTCCATCTCACGCTTCAGTTTTATCTCTTGCGTCGCTGAAGTCCCTTATTCCTCACAATGCTTTTCACTGTTTCCTATGCTCCTCGCTCCAAACGCGGGTTGGTTATGACTCTTCTTCTAACCCTCATTGTCGATCTTTCTGTTCCAAATGATTCTTTAAGCACCCAAGATTGGACTTCAAGCGATAATAAGTTTAATTACGCTTCGAAGAAGAGGAGAAGACCGATGAAAGCGTCGTTAGTCTTCCTACGTTGGCCTCCCTTTATTCTCATGACTCCCGATACCATTTGGGCTCTTTCGGTCCTGACCATGTAGCACAAGTGGCTTCAGAGAGAGAACAGCTGAGATCCCCGCTCGGAGGAAGGGAGTATACTATCCTGAATCCTGTCGCAGTCGACGGAGATCGACTGGAATATTCGCGATTTCCGATCAATATTCCCAGGATGAGTCACCATTCGGTAAAGAGTCATTGTTGAGCTCGTTTCTTTTCGTTTTTGAGGTCGTACCGCCTTTTCATTCAATCGCAAAACGGCGCTCGCCATAAAGCTCCCCGTTAGAGTTTTTCGATTCCCTTATCGAGAAAGTGATTCTCGTCGCAAAACATCGACGTCATCTTCCAGCCCTTCATCTGTGATGAGCTCCACCGACGGAGCCGCGATGTCTGGCTCTCGGCGGTGAGAAGCGAACGTTTCCGCGACCTGGGGAGAGGAAAGACCCTCTGAAGACCGGAGTGTCTGCGGGGTTTCTCCGGGATCCGAACCTTATTGCTACAAGTACGGTCCATTCAGAAGCTTTCTCGAATGCGACTGCATGGCCAGATCACCAAGTCAGAGCTCAGCGAGCCTGGAACATGTGTCGGCTCCCTCGTAGTTAAGTTTCATTATACAAATGACGCTCTCATGCAAATATCCGTCAAGCTAGCCTCGATAAAGTGTGCTGGTACCTTCCGATTCGATCTGACGGCCATCGCCCTGAAGAGGTCCGACAACTTTTTGCGAGACATTGTGCCGCAGATTTTTCCATCGTCGACCGGACATGCAGCGTGGGATACCCCCACGCGTTATTCACAGACACGAGGACTGAGTATGTAGGTTGCTCGATGAAATCCGCAGTCCATACCTCGAGCATGGCCAACGAGAGCTCAACGAAAAATGCTCTAAAAGAGGAGTGCGTAGTCCCAGTGTAGACATTCCCGGCCTCTTCCAATCCACCTCAATGTCTACTCTGCATAACAAGTGTCCCTCGAAGCCGAGGCTCGGAGTCCGCTACTATTGACGATCCGACAAAAAGCGGCCCCTACCGTGGGAATACGTGTTTTCTCTGTAATGGAAAACCCTTGAAATAATCGCGACTTGCTGTCGACTGGCGGACTGGCAGTAATCCCTGAAGGCTCGCCTAGTGATGAACACGACACGACATATGTAAACACGCTTATCGGAACGAAGAAAGAAGACAGCGAGCGCGCCTCTCCTCAAAATGGGGATTAAAACTCAATTTCGTCTCCTGGCTCGCGCGTCTCGAGGATCCAAACTCGCGCGGGAAGCCGCTTGCTTTCCCGCCTGTTCGGTTCTACAGTCGGTTGCCGCCGCCGCATCCAGCGCCTTACTGCCAAGCGAGCAGCTAGCCTACGAACGAACCCCTTTTTTTCCTTCAGATCCTCGTTGTCAAACTACTGGCAGTGAGTGCCGCTGAATTTTGCCGGAGCTCTTCTACTATCGTACGTTCCTCCGACTCTTTAGATAGCGTCACTCTAGTGAGTGCCTTCTTCTCCGTTCATCTCTTCCATCGCAGCGGCGGTTGCTGCCGCGGCGTCGGCCGACGTTCTAAAACCTTTCAGGCGTTACGGAGATATTGAATATGAGGGGAATAGGGATGCGGACGCGGAGCATATTGCGATATGAACGGATAAATAAATGCGTATGATGTACTAGGGAATCTGCGAAGATATTGTTTCGGATGGGTTCTTCGCCGCGAGACGTTCAACACTTGTATAAAACTCGATCATAGGAGATTTCTTCCTCCACGTCTAACGGCTCCCCTGACGCGGGAGTAGCATATCTCCCGCTTATCGTAATGCGTTTTCAACAGCGAGAAAGAATCGACCGAATTTTAGCTAAGAGTCCGCCGACTCGAGCTCCCGGATACGGTCGACTAAGCGCGGAATTCGGCTTGCAGTTGCAGATATTCGGATACAATAGCGATCTTTACGCGAACATTTCCGAGGCGCTGGAGTTGCGCGAAAGCAGCGCCTTGGTCGGATTATCGGTCCTGATGCAGCTCGGAGAGACGTCATCGCCGGAACTACGAGTCATCACGTCACCTCTCCGAAAAATCGTCTACCGTGGTACGTACTTTCCCGAGAATCCTCGGCTCCTGCTCATCATTCGAATATTCTCATTCGGAGCATGTTCTTCAGTCTCGGAATCGTTCCCAATATTCTGAATCGATCGGTCCCGAGCTCATCGAGGACGCGATTGTTTCCCACGGAAAAGTGCTCGAGAACTCTCGACGCTCGAAAGTAGGTCCCTGATGGTACGGATGATACCTAGACCCTAGACCACGAGAAAACATCGATAGCGTGGAGCATGAGAAGCTGTGCCGCGAGGCAACCACCATTCCGCGGCGAACACGTCGAGATTACGGCGCGTGCCCTTCGTTTTCATCATGTCTTCAGATATTCCGAGCTCGGAATACGTAGTATGTCGGTACTCGTTCCCGCATCGACCCCCTCCCCGGAAAAACGCAGATGATCTGAGTTTCGACCCTCGGACAAGCGAATTCACCGGAAAAAAAGAAGAACGCCGTCCCCGGGAGGAACACGACGGAAACCCCCATTCCCCCTCACCCCGCCGAATATTTCCGGGACAACTCTATGTGGGGAGAAATATCCGAGTGACTCGCGACGGTACAGGTCTGCGGAGCTCACACGAGAGAGAGGAGACGTCACTTTGTCGCGAGTCGTAGACAGAATTGAAGCCTCCCTCTCATCCATGGGGCGGTGAGCCTCCCACGTGAAAAGTGTCATAACAATTATATCTGTACGAGCAATGGGAGCTATTTTGACGTGATCGGCATGCCTCGAGGTAAGATCTCTGTCACGACAGACGCTGTCGGAGATCCCCGCGCGCTCTGGCGCATCAGAAACCCGTAAAAGTCTTGCTCCCTCAAGTCGCGACGCTCAATTTCTACACTATTTCGGAACCCTGCCCCCGACCGACCAACAAACCTCCATTGGATGCGGGGGCGCAATCGAGGCGGACACAAACTATCATACGTAACTGTGATCAGGAGGAAAACTTGTTTACGGAATGCAAAAATTTTCTCCGGATAGAGAGCCTTCGGTTTCTCTCTATCGCGGGCGGCTCACTCAAGTTTCGCTCGACTTGTGATTCCAGGTCAGGAAGCCTCGATCCAGCACATTTCGCTGAAGGAACTCCTGCCAGACACAACGGAGTATATGACGTACGATGGCAGCCTCACGATGCCCGGCTGTTACGAAACAGTGCGGTACGTTCCACCAGACGTTGTTGCGGGTTACCAAAGTCCATAAGACCAATTAGTTTTTTATGTTTGCGGTTGGTCTCGCCGACTTAGTTTTAATGGGGACAACCGATGTAATTGGCGATTGGTACGGAATTTCATCGCGGAATTTCGACCATGGATTGCTTTGTATACGAAGTCACGAAGATCGTTACGGCTCGTGCTCGTAAGAGAATCGCGCTGTGTGAGAGACTCGTTCTCCTCTCGAAATTCTCTCCTCGGAATAGCTTGAATGCGGGCTATCTCAGCGGTAAGGGCGGAAAATCTCGATTTCCGCGAGAAAACTTCTACTCTCACTCGAGCCCAGCCGAGCTCCGACGAAGTGTTTTTGGGTCGTGACTCAGGGGCTTGTTTTTCTGATTCGTCGTCGTAAGCTCCCGATTAGACACGCTTCGTCGCGGAGTCAGGGTGCATAATTCTATCGGGCCGGGGAGCGGGGAGTATCCATAACTTCTTCCCCAAGTGACAGCTTTGTCAGGCATGCTCGGAATGAAATCAGGGAATTTTCGGACACCCGTTATTGGGATCAATGGAGTGGATATACGGAGACTTGATTCCGATATACTCTCGGGAAGATATTCCTGATAATTTGGGATCAATTCAGACAACGAGGACCCCGAAATCGTCCTGGCTTTCGGGAGCTGTTCACAACACACAGTTTCCAGATTCAATTTCGACGCGCTCATGATTCACGGCCTCTCTTGGATCAAGTCCTTCCCGGAAGTGAAATCCTGTTCACGATTTGGATCGGTTGAATTCGGCTCGACGACGGTCTCATCGGACACGTTCATGACACTTTCAGATGGATTGTGATGAACAAGCCTATATACATCACGAAACAACAGTTGTATCTCCTTCGGAAGTTGATGCAAGGAGACGATGCCAATCCCAAAGCTCCCATGTGGGACAATTTCAGACCAACTCTGCCCCTGAATCAGAGGGTCACGTGGACGAATATCGACTTCGCTCACAGCAGTAAAAAGGTTCGTATAATCGATGAATAATTATGCTTATACGTCAAATGTCGCCGGAAGAAAATGAGGGATTTATCCCGGGGGCGTTGCGTATTCCAGGGCAATAACTGTCCGCGCATGCGGAGAGAGACCGGCTACCGAGGCGAGTAACTCATATAGTTCCATAAATCATAAAATTCTCGATTTCATAGAGGTTCAGAACTCATGGAATTTCAGATTCAATAGAATTTGTAAAGTCAAAGAATCTCAGATTCAATAGAATTTGTAAAGTCAAAGAATTTCAGAACTCATGGAATTTCAGATTCCATAGAATTTTAGAACTCGAAGAATTTCTGATTTCATAGAATCCTAGAATTCATAGAATAGAGATCTCATAGAATTTTAGAACTCATGTAATTCTAGAGCTCATAGAATTCCAGATACACCCGATCCCAAGTCCGAGTTTCGCTGACCGTTCGTGGTTTCCTATTACAGTGAACGCGAAATACACGCGGCCGGTAGCGCTTGACGATACCGAGGACCTGGACAAGGACATTCTTTGAGGAATCCGACTCGCGTAGTTTAGTTTGTACATACGGTGGAGTAATTCGATGTAAATATTCACCTGTTCAAGTAAACACATTGTCATATTCACAGCTTTTCAATTTCGCAACGCTGGGGAAAGATTCGTGTGGGAAGATTCGGAACCCATCCCTGAAACCACACTCACAACTATCTAGTGGGTCACGTCCCCGGATAAACGGTCCAGGCCTTGGGCGCATGGAATCAACAGAGGCGTCGACGATACTCAGGGGTATCGGGGCCGGAGGCAACCGAACTTGAGCCGAAAGACGAATGTGGAGAAGAGATGATTTTGAAAAAAAGTTCAAGCAACATTCGATGAGTGTCATTCGGAGAGGATTAAGGAGACGAATATCCTTCTCTCCCTCTCTCTGAGCAAGGATGCAAAGTTCAAAAGCAGCTGGTGCAACTTGTTCTGTCTCCATGAATCTTTGTCGGTGGAACTCCGTCGCGCTTGTTGCGAAAGAAACTTCGTCTCCTCGATAAGATTGAGCCGCACGTGAGCTGCGTTCTTGGCGAGTCTGCGAAGGCTGTTCCGAATTGGCTTCTTTGGATTCATCAACAAAACCGCGTTCGCATGTAGCGGCTGATAGAGCGCTCGCTGCCGCCGCCCAGTACGGGCCGAATATGCATTCATGCATATATGGACAAGGGTTTCATGTGCGCTGTGAGCCACGTGCGACATCCACCATCGAGCCACTTCCCAATCTGGCTCGATCGAGATCACCGTGCTCCGAATTCCCCCATTCCGAAGTGAACCAGCGAGCGCACATCCGAGACAAGGACTCAGAGAATTGATATGTCATCCGGATACGCAGCGAGAGGAAGTCCTTCCCGAGCGGTCGCGACGACGTTCATCGATCCGGGCGCGCAGCATCAAGGTGGCTCCCGCAAGTCGGCGGCACCTCTGTTCATACCTCGGTGGCGGCTTCCTTCGTCTTCCTACAGCTGAGGAACGATATTATTAACAATAACAATGACGACGACGATAGCAACAAGAAAAATGACGTCGGCGACGACTCAGGCTCCAGATAGACGCGCCGGAGGTCTGAAACAAGATCGATGAGGCTCCCGAAGGGATCCTCATGTCGAATATTGACTCAGCAGATGACCGATCTTTCCTTGCTTCCGGATACCTGCTACTGATTGAATGATTGTACCTTGATTATTCTGATTGAGCTCGTGCCACTACAGAATTGGAGCGCAGGCCGGAGAAGTTCTCGTGGGATCGTCGGGAGCTGGTACCTGCTTCACCTTCACTTGCAGGGTCCCCCCGACAGCGCCAGCGTTGGTTGACCAGCGATTCCTGCATGTCGCTCGGGATGTACGATACTTTGTCCCGAGCAGGGATCGATCGGAATCTCTTGAATCTTCGAACAGCGTGAAAAATCTGTCTGATCGGGGATTTCAAGAAAAATCGTTCCGTATGCTAATGGACCGACTCTTGATACTATCGAAGAGCGCTCAAGCAGTGCAAATGGCCGCCGGACAGAGGAAAAGCGACTCCGGAAGCCGCATTCGGCTCAAAAACCTAGCTCTCTCGGGATGCATCAGAATCACTTGATTGTTCGAGAACAGTAAAGATGAAAAGTTTTAACGAGCGCGGCATTTCATTGCTGCCCGCAATGACACTTGCATGGGCGAGAGATTCTCAATTGACTGTCGACAGGCTCTTCTCGCTCGGAGAAAGCCCCCTGATCGGACAAGAGAAAAGTCATTTGATCGAAAATGCAAATATATGAGCTCCGCATTCAGATGTCCATCCAACTTAGTCGCCGGATTAAGACTCGGGGTTTCCTCCTGCTTTATGAAGAGTCTCTTTCCATGCTCGTTACCCCTCGAATTCGTGTGGATCGTCTTGGAGCTGCTGTACCAAGCTCTCCATCGAATCACTGCCCGTTGATAACTGCGAACCATGGACTCAGAAAGGAGATGCTCAGGAATTATGACCCAATGACAGATCGGAAAACTAGAACTTTGTAGCTCCTAGGCACAATTGACATACGACTCATCTCCCCAGGATCGTTCGGGTATACACTCCAACTCACAGTTCTGCTTTGTTGAGCACATTGTGAGAGCTTACGAGAGAGCGTCTTGAATCGAAATGTGGGCTGACATTGATAGGTAGCCATAGAGAATCCGATCAGGAACGACACCAGGCAAAGAAAAAAGTCACCAAAGGACCGAGCAAACCGCGGAACAAAATCACGAAAAGCCTGGACATGTCCGGGGTTACTGCGAAAGGCGACATAATTCGTCGTCGATATTGAACCGAGAGGATTTCACACTCGTGCGGACATCGTTGGGAACACGGCCGTAATCGCCGAATTATATCGCTCGAAGGCTTGTCCGGATGGTCCGACGTCCGACTGAATCCACATACTGATACTCCATATGTCTAAAAAGTTAGCATCCGGCAGAAATCGAGGAAATGTGCAGATGCTCGATCGGCCCTCCAACAGGCTCTGGGAGCCATTCTCGAACCCGGAGCAGAAGTCTTGACTCTAGACCAGCGGTTCCCAACCTTTTTGGCTCCGCGGCTCCCTAGCGAACCCAGAATTCCCCCGCGGCTCCCAGGATCCCAGTGCCCACGCGGCTCCCGCGGCTCCTACCTACTCTCCCTTCTTTTTCCCCTAAAAGGACCATTCGCAGCTACATTCCGGCACTCATAACTTGCATGTACATATATTGTTCACAAATATTCCGCCTCCCTCTCGTCAATTCCCCGTTTAAAAGACTGAATGGGAATCTCCGGAGACAAGCAGCTCCTGGCTGGAAAAGGTAGCCTCGCGGGCATACCAGAGCTCTCTAACAAATGAGTCCAATCTCTCTCGACGGAAGAGAAGAGTTGAGCTTCTCGAAGCTCACGGGAAAAAGCTTAGTGGTGGATGAAGTGTTCTCTGCGGGGAAGACACAAGGAAACAAAAGGTGCTCCGTGCGGTGGTGTGAAAGCGAGTGAGATTTTATTTTAGCTTCGTTCACTCCTCGATGGAGTTGAACGGAATGGCGGGAACACAACCGTGGCAGATGAAGTCGATCCGTTTCGGAACCTTCCCTTGGAATTGACAAACCCTGACGGCCCGGACCTACACCAGAAATTCGTCCGCGGCTCCCCCAGAAAAGCCTCGCGGCTCCTAGGGGAGCCGCGGCTACCAGGTTCGGCGGCTCCCCCAGAAAAGTCCCGCGGCTCCCCTAGGAGCCGCGGCTCCCAGGTTGGGAACCGCTGCTCTAGACCCTCTGGCATTAGAAAGCCAAAATGCATGAACAAGGAAGAAGTGGCACGCAATTTTTTTTCTATGGAAGATAAATGTGTATGTATAAGTTTATTATCTTATATCATCGATTTCCTCCATGATTCCGCGTCTTTGAATCTTGTCTTGTACAAGCGATGACGATTCGATCAAGTCAATCAAGCGAAGCCTGTGACTGAGTGAGAATCTCCCATTTCAATTCCTCCCTGGTATGCTATACAAAAAGGTGACCGATCATTCCACTGTCCAGCTCCGATAAGGGCTGAATCGATGAGCTAGGTGAGACTACGCCGGGAGAGAGACACTCTGGGTAAAGCCTAATCTACGACGCTGCCGAATTCGAGCGACAGCTGCTGCCTTGTACGTGGAGGAAGCGTTTCTTGACGCTTCATCGATTGGATATCGTCTCGGAATCGCTTCGATAGTCAACGTGTTGATGTCGGTCGCGTTAGAAAACTCATCCGGCCAGCGAGATCCGACCCAGCGACGCCGACGGTTTTCGGGTATACATTCAGAGGTCTCGATAGATAAGGCTATGCGTCTTTCGTGAGTCCCCTCATCGATCAGATGGACTCGAATAGGAATTGTGAGGGGAACAAGAATGCTTTTGGGGGAATCATCTACATGACGCCCGTCGAGATGTGTCCATAGCGGGAACAGGGGATACATATGAATTTTACTCCAGTATAGATTTGTTTGATTCGGAAGCGAGGGCTCGATTGCTCGGACGGTGAAAACTCAAGCATATCAGCGGAATTCTCATAATCGAGAGGGATTGTCAGGAGAAGTTGCAAGAATGCTGATTGGAGCTTCTCCGAGAGGGTTTTTTTCGGATATCAACGGAAATCCCAGAAATGCAGAGTCTAGTAGAAGCTAGCGGTGATTCCGATTGATTGTAGAATTATCTTCCGCTGATCTCTTCGGCAGCTTGCACAATCGGTGGATATGGTATACGAGAACCTAGAGGAGACTTCACGCACCCGAGAAGCCCATTTCAGCGCCAGAATGAGCGACCTGAGATGGTCGAGTGTACACTAAACGAGTCGTCTAACGTCGGGAGAGCACCGGATTTCAGTATAGACTTTGCAATAGAGCTCGCTCAAAAGAAGTCGGCATCAGAATCACTGAGGTAAATCGCGGGGTTCCGATCTTCGGGCGCCGTCCGATTGCGTCGTAGCGGTATCCGTCGAGACGCCATTGGACTATCCTTCTTGAGGTCCTTCCGAGGCAAAGGGGTTGGTTTCAGGAGCTGCGAAGTTTGGTTCAGTCTTGGCAGGCTCCTGGGTCTCGAGTTCAGGCCTACATGCGACGTCGAGTTTAGCTCCGTCGAAGAAGTCCGCCGGGTCGAAGGCGGAGTCTGGGAAATCTGCGCGGGATGATTCTGTCATGAGCGTGAGGCGAACGCATGAATTACCAACGAGAATTTCCGTTCCTTCTTGTCACTACATTTGCGATGGGAATTTGATAAGTTTGGGGAATCAGATGCCCGAATCCGAGATGCCCCCGGCCCCAGCTCTGAAGCCGCCGGTGAAATATATAAATATCTTCATTGACATCGGTAGAGCTGCCCCTTACGCGAGTGCACATGGCATAGTTTCTTCATAGATAGCTCGTGGTTCACTGATCACATCGAACTATGCTTCGCTCAGTCCAATGTTCGACGGGTCAGCCCTCTCGGAGTCAGGCATCTGAGGCTATAACCTGAATGCTCCTGATAAATCGCAAAACCTAATGAGCAAGTTGGTCACAAGGGGTGCGGCGTTCTTATGCAGGCCATTAATATTTTGTGATAAATATCATGTTTGGGTGAGCAGCAAGCAGAACCAAAGTATGATCCAGCAAAACCAACAAAACTCAATAGGAAGCAAAAACCTTAATTCACTCGATTTATTCCATCCAGAGCATTTCAAGACTCTCCCCTCAACATAATCGCTTGAATCGGCCGTGCGCCTCACAAAATCGAACGCAAATAAAAGACGAAGCATTGAATCACCTCCCGCTACGGAACCCAAAAATATGTTCCGCTCCTTCCGAAATAATACTGTATGCTGTGAATAAATACTCGATGCCTCCCACTATGGAAGATCGAGGCAATATGAGATGATTTTTTTTGTCTCTTCTACATTTTTGTCCGGCTTTTTTTGACTATTTGCTTTGAAGTCGACTTGTCCAGATCACAAAATATTTAGATACTGAACACATTGACTGAGTATTGACTTTTTTTTCCTCTTTGAGTGTTCTAATTCCCTTCAGTCGATACAGGGGAGCTTCACGGACCATTTTGCCGTCGTGCTTCGCCGTGGGACTCGGAAAAAGATCGTCTCATAGAGATGTATGCAGCGAATTACTACCGTACTCGCAAACCGGTATGCCATGCCGCTCCATAAATGAAATCATAAATAAGCCCAAGAAATTGGGCGTCCCCTCCCCGACGTGGTTGACCTCCGCGCATTAAGCGAGTCGAATCACACAAAATCTGTCCGGGACAGGTTCACGGCGCTAGAATTGCATTTGAAGGCCGCCGTCGCTTGCTTACGATAAGACTGACTTCCCGCGGAGAGGAATACTTTTTTCAATGTTTTTTTTCTCACTATTCCACGAGGAAGCGCTTTCGCATCTAGCTCGCGGAGAATCAAAGATATGAGGATTTGTACAAAGACTCTCGAATGTGATCAGGACAGTGATGACCGGATCCGATCGAATACTGCGATCAACACGAGAGATACTTGCGATCGTTTTTCCGCTCGGCATCTCGTGCCCTGACGAGTGCAGTCGGGAATACTGCACTGAGCTCATGCAGATCTCAAACTTCCTTGCGTATAGATCGAGAATCTACCACATTCGATCTCACAGAAAGCAAATCACGTTCTTATTAGGTTTTGGTGAGGCGGCAGTTTGATTTGAGGACGTGTTTCCTGGACCTCCTGTCGGGGACGACGGTACGTTTGAAGACGAGAGATTTGAAGACTGACGTCCAAGAAACAGCAAGCGCTGGAACACAACAAAATGAACAAACACATTCCAAGAAAAAAACGAAAACTCTGCGCGAGCCAAAATCGTGGAGCAAGCTCATCATTCATCATAGCTTAGATTAGGGTGGCATTGGAATATGTCAATCAGGTGTCTGGGAGGCATTCCGGAGCCAGATATGGATGGAGGAGCCCAAATCAGATAACGTACTCGGAGGAGCCTCACATACCTTGGGTTGCGGAATCGGGAGCTTGCTTTTTGGACTTTTCGGTATTCGCAACGAGTTGGATCTCTGGTGATGGTTCTGGAGGCTCAGCCGACTGCGAGGAATCGAAACGAATTAGATACTGACCTCAGCAGTCGAAACAGACGATCGTCCCTGGAGCGAGAACAGCAAGCTACAGGGAATAGTGCCTCGAGCAGATCAGGTGCGCGACTTGTTTCACTCCCAGGGTAACGTCACAAGAAGGGCATCGCCAACTGACAATGATTGACAATCGGGCCGGGAATTAAGGATCTCTACTCGACTCGAATTCCACGGCTGCAGGGATCAGGGGCGGATTGTCTACAAGGACATTGATGGAGAGATTCCTCTTCTACTTCTTTTGGGGCGCTTAAGAACACAAGTCTCGAGCGCAGCGGGACAGTTCTTAACGGGAAAGACAGAAGCAGGGAAAGAGACGAAGCGCGTGTCGGTCGTTACTATGGAGAACGACAATCGATGCTCTGGCGTGTTACCTCGTCGTCGAGACACGGACTCAGGTTGGCAGAAAGAATCACGTTGCCCAGAGCGCACTCTACCCGACCGCTAGAAGACAAACCGGTCTCATTCATGGAAATATTCGGCATCCCGCAGAGGGACGATTTTTTGGCAACTTCCTGAGACCATGGCGATGTATGCGGAGAAATTGAAATGAGAAAATCCAGGAGAAAGATCTCGATCACTGATTCAATGAGTCGAGGTGTTCGAATGCGCCGGAAATCATCTTTCTCGAATCAGCACAGAGTATCCCCCGATACATCGGCATGCCTCCAACTTCAGGAAGGATCAAAGTCTCGGTTGAAAGGGGAATCCATACGAAGTTCCGGAAATCGACAGCTCGAACTCGGCGCATCGGATGTCATCGAATCGGTCGGGAAGCTAATACTCACTTTTGGGATTCTAACTGTGAGTTTTCTTGGCGGAGATCCCTGACAACTGCTTCCAGTTCCTTGTTACGATTCGAGACTTTGCGGACATTCGCATGTGTCAAATCCAGCTGCAATGATTCTCATATATGAGCGTTTCTCAACAATGATGATCACTGACTGTGTTCGACTCGCGGCCGAATGGAGCACCGCGGCGCGGTTTTTACCTCGTCTTGAGCGGCATCGAGCTGAGTTTTGAGTTCCTCGATTCGTGATCGGAGTTTCTTTACTTCTTGTTCAAAAGACTCCGCACGACGCAAGGCATGGCTGAGTTCCACTGTTTTCTCCTGCAGTACTCTCTTGAGTTTCGAATGTGCTTGTTTAAGCTCGTGGTAGGCTTTCGTGTTGACGCTGTGCGAACTCGCAGCGCCTCCGCTTGCTGTACCCGGAAGATCCCCGGTTCCACAAGTTCCAGTGGATCCGATACCTGCACCATTGAAGAGAATATCACAATCGAGACTTCAAGAAAAGCTTGTAGATGAGCACGATACTTCGTTCACCCGATCCGGATTCCTTCCTCAGCTATCCAATCAACAAACCTTCACTCGAGCTTGAAGAACCTGTATTGCAGTTGGGATGGGCTTGATTGTGGTTATTGGCGGCCACCTCCTCCAATTCCAGAATACGGATCTTGAGCCGCTTATTTTCCCGATCGAGAGCACTTTTTTCAGACTCAAGACGTTCGCATTTATGCCATTCTGCTGCATTTTCCTCTTGAAGTTTCTCAAGCTGCAGAAATTCGACAAACTCAGGAGCGTGGCCAAAATCCGTTCAGTGCTCCTGTTAGGGATCATCGCGGAAATCGACACCGGGGGAAAACTAACCTTGACTTGCAACATTTGAATCTTCTCTTCTGCTTCAAACTCCTCGATCCCTACAGTCAGAGGATCTCCTTGAGTCGTACAGCTAAGATGGGAAACGCTAAGATCTGGCTCGTGCGAAGCCGCTGCTAACGCAGCGAGCTCCGTATTGAGGCGTTCATTCTCCCTGAAAACGGTCGCCGGAAAATGTTGAGCTCAAACTTCATCGGGACGAGAGCATCAGGAGAGAGGATGAATCGATATTCTTGAAAGTGTTAGTATTGCAGGAATCTAGAACTCACTGCTTCTCGCTGCCCAATTGTCGCAAGGCGTCTAGCAATCGGAGTTGCAGGTACGCAATCTTCGCGTCTTGATCACAACCGGAGTTTGCGGGATTTGAATTGAGCGCTAACAATTCTTCGGCAAAGCTTTTCTCGTTCGACGATAGCGATCCTCTACCGTTACCTGTCCCTTGAGGACTACTGTGCACGTCTTTCTCCCTCATGTGACTCAGAGCACCATGTCCCAGATCGAACGACGCATCTGAATCTCTGAGAGCGTTAAGGTGTTTTAGATAGAAGACGAGCCAGGCAGCGGTCACAATGGCGAGGAAACCTATTCAAGATGCTCTGGTTTTTCGGTTGCATGCTCTACGCTTACGGTTTGTCAAGCAATCCATCGGGTTCAGGTTCATTCTGGAGCATTTGGTTGTCGGTGAGGCTGAGGTCCGCCAGGGCGCTTCCGCTTTCGTCCAACCTGAAAAACCAATTCTGGGTGTCATTGGACTTTCATGGTAAGACCCGATGGATGAACTTGGAGCGCTCGCCGATGAGAATTTACGCCAGAGAGAATTTACTGTCTTGAGAAGTTTCAAATCGATCTAACCTTAGTTTCTCCTGTTGGTCGTCAGGCTGGAGGGATTCGACCAAGGCATTGGTGTTGTTGTTGTTTGAGCTCCGAGTCGTGTCGAGTATTTCTTCGGTAGCTTCGGTTTGAGACGGTGACTGCCTCGAAGATCCCCGATACGACTCTTTCAGACGCATCAATTCCGCTCGCAAATTGATGATCTCCTGCTCCAAGGTCGACCTTTCGGACACCAAAGCTTCCATCTGCGGGAGCGGATTATGATTACTCTTGAATCCATCTCGAAGTTCCTCTGACGCTCAGAACCCTTCTGGGGTGAAAATGTAAGCCTCCCCCGGCCTCGTTCGCTACCCACCTCTTTGACGTGTTGCTCGCAATTCGATTTAAGCTTGCGGAGTTCTTCTTTTGCTTCGTTCCTCTCGGCTCGGGCCTTACTCCACTTGTCTCGCCAATTGTTGGTACAGTCGGACCACCACCTTCGGGAGGGAGAATCGAGATTAGATCTTGACGGTGTTGTCCGAAGCCGCAACGCTCGATAGTTCGGTGCCGCGATGCAATCGGCGTGATCTTCCCATCGGATCATTCTGAGTTTCTTCGAACTAAAGTCCCTGGGCTTCCACCGTCCCTCCGGGCTAACGAAAATTATAAGAAGATCACCCGAAATCTGCCGTGGGAAACTTCTTCCACCGAAAACCGTGTTTTCCGAGACTCGGCGGAATTTCCCACGCGGGCGGCGCCGTCGATACCGATATCTGACTTCCTTTCGACATAAAATAATTTTCTGTAATGAACATCCAATCTGCCCAGAGCCGACGCGCCATGACGAAATGTTTTGTTTGCTCCGCCATGCCACCCCTCGTACACTGACCTCATGGTCTTCTCCATCTGCGCTATTCGCTGGCGAGCCTCTTCCAGTTCCTTGACTTTGTGGGGTGATTGTTGAGGGAGATGATGACCGTGCATCGGAGAATGTCCTCCGCCCGGTGATTGTCGAGCACCCTCGTACAGAACTCCGCCGGCGGTCCTGTCTACGCTTATCTGCTCGTATTGAGACATACCTGGAACCAGACCACAGAACAGCTCAGCTCTTGGTAGTCGTTCGCGCAAAGCTTCGGAAGGAGCCGTGAAGGAAAAAAATCAAATCAGTCGCTCTTTCATCCTCAGAATGGATTCGGGGACTACGCTCGAAAAACCGGGACTATCTTGTCAATTTGTAAGTGCCCAATCACGTTCGGAAGCATCGCTAAAGCTTCCGAACTTCTACATTCAAGAAGAAAGCCGGGGAAGCATACAGCGGCCGTGACCGACAGACGTTGCTAACTCCCGGGACACAATGGATGAGCATTGAGAAAAACTTCGGCAGCTTTCAAGCGTTTCAAAAGCGACCACCTGAAAAACGATCAGATATTCCTCTCTACTTTCGACAAGACAAGAAACTAGGATGATATCAGCATCCTGTCTTCGAGCCTTTGGAAGCACGCCACTCTTCAGAGAGACGGGAAGTCACTGACTCCTATCTGAGAAAGCATTCTGCACCAAGGTGGACAGGCCGTAATTCTGTAAATCGTGCCGTCTCACTGAAGAAGAAGCCTCCTTCACGACCGCAACCAGCAACCACGAACTTCTGAGGAACGTTGCAGTCTATAGCTGTACGTGCTCGTATTTGGCGAAACTCGTCACCGCATCGTGGCTGCACAACAATGACACAGTCTCATTACTCGAGTCTATCCTCCGGCGCCATCCTTGTCAATTGAGCTGACTGGCCGATGTAGAGAAAAAAAATCAACGGCGACCATCGCGTCATGAGACACCGGCCGCGTTGAATATCGAAACGACGAACCGATCTTCGAACAAGTCTGAGAGTGTCCGATGGTGAGTGTCACTCCGCCTTCCACGGTTGACATTTGAGTGCAGCTCGAGCACCACACTCGAGCTTTGACTCACTCCGGGAGAGTATTGTTTTCTTTTCGATGGGAACTGCCGCTCTCGATGGAAACTCACCGTACAAATTGTCCTGGCGCTCCATTTCTAGACTCGAGCCGGACGAATGGTGATGGTGTCGTCTATGGTGTCTGGGCCCACTGCCGTCAGAGCTCCCAGCCGAGTTGGAATGTCGGTGAGAGTACAGAGGACTTCGTAACGGTGTCCCTAAAAGTGAACGATACTGTTGATCTGTTCATCCGGCACCATTGGCAAGTGAGAGGGCCAATCGTGGATATAGTCGGTCCGGTCTCGACGCCCTACGCCCGATAAGCACTCGAGGCGCTCCTTGAACATTTTGCACTCTAAGTCGGTTCGGTCGGGAATCCCCACTACTAGCGCTGGGGTCCCCATGCTGTCTGAGCTCCCCTGGCGGGGCAGAATGAACAATACGACGTACCATGGTGTTGTACGGGTGGGTCCTCATCTATCCGCTGGTAAAGTTCCTCTCGGAGGCGGGCAGGGCTTCGATGGCTCATTGCGAGGCCATGGCACTCTGCGACAGAACTGACCACCCGGACAGCATATGCACTGTGGAGATGCTACGTGCGTAATCGGTTGCCACTGTTCGCCCCACTCACTGACCGACTAACTGACAGACTGGCTGGCTGGCTGATGGTCTGGCTGCTAGTGCCTTCTGTTGCCTGTTCGTCGGTCGGTCCGTTCGTCTGTCTCCTTGCCCGCCTGGCACAAAACTCCGTCCGTCGGAACACCGAACACACCACCACCACTACGAGCACCAGCAACAACACACTGAACGACAGATGCAGCAGCGGACGAATCAGACACCTCTGTCGTCTGCTACCAGGTCAACAGAACAATTACGACACACTAGAAGGGGCGGGAGCGGCCGGCGGATAGGACACTGTCTGCCTACGAATGGCATAGACAGACCATCATCATACGCTGCGAACGAGGGAGGAGAGATAGGGTAAATCGTGGCCTTTCGGCTCATCGGTGAGTTGGTTCGAGAGGCTTTGTCGCGCTCCCGTCGATCCTGCCGGTCGGATGATCCTTTCCTTCGGCTGAACGAAGACCGCTCCGAGCCTTCTCGTTTTCCTCATACAATGAGTCATCGGAGACAAGTTGGAACAACTTCTCCGCTGCCGCCATCCTGTTCGATGAGCTGACCACTCCCCGCACTGCGCTCTGACTGCATTCAAGCTCCTCGAGATTCCGAACGGGTCTCCTTCCGACTGTGAATCGGTGAATACGCGTAGACTTCTGTATCATTGTGTCATGTTCGTCTTCGGCTCCTTAAAATAGTAGGAAATCGACATTTTTCCTTCGAATCTGCAACCAATATCATTCATCAATCTCTAAAGATTGGGGTTTTCGTTGGCTACCTGCATGGGATGAATTACGGATCTCTAACGGAAATCTGTCTAGCGCTCTCGCGGCTTTCCAAACCCATCATCGCTGTTGTCCGAAAACTCCCAGGCCGATTGACCGACTGCAAGCGAATCATAATTCCTTCGAGATCATGAGAATCCACTGGATGCTGTTGTAGTCGTCATCATCGCACGCGCCCGCACCTCCAGTTATCATGTCGTAGAGCGTTTCGGGAAACCGGGGAATGAACGGGCAGGCCTGGTCGTTCGGATATACGCAGTATGCATGTCGAGCATCTCATACCGGGCTACGCCGCGCGAAGCTCATATCCAGCAGCAGTGGTATCATCGCTGATCTATCCACGAACACGAACGTTCGAGCATTGAGCATTCGTTTCCTTCAAGCTCGAGAAAAGTGGAGGATGGCATCCGCTGCCGAGGTGGGAGGGGGTCGGGCGAATAACGGAGGCGATTGAACGATGACGGTGTGCGCCCTCAGGATCTATCGGCTGGCCTAGCATGTCAGACCCGCGAGCTCCAAGGGTTTTCGGAGAGGAAGAGCCGCTTCGGGGAGATCATCTAAGCTGGGAGGGATATTTCCACCAAGATCCGAAGGACATCGTGATTCTACCGAATCAGGGTCGCTTAAGGCGAAATCATTCACAATTATTTCACCTTATAACCGTATGAAGATAGGTCGATGCCTTCGACCTTTCTTCATATATGAAAAAATGGTCCCAAAAGTTTGTCATGAGGATTTTCGGGGTCAGGAGCAAACCACCAGATAATAAGATTCCGTGCCGTGTTTTTGATCGATCCGTGCAGGATCCATCATCATCTCCGGGATTCGGTCAGTAAGCTCGAGAATTAGCGTTTAGGCAAGCTTGCGCGAGCTTCCTACAACTCGCTCTTTATTGACGTTGTATTGTACACGACCTGATTGCTCCTCTCTCATGCTCTCGATCAATGTTAGACGCTCCACCTCACGATGAATGGGCTGGGAATTCCCATCTGCCGTAGAGTTATCTCAAGTTCCCATCCCTGCAAGAACATTTGGCGCGGATCCTTGGACGTCACTCCCGAGGAGTGCCCCCTTCAGAGATTCCCGAGGACGTGGTGTGATTCCGTTCGGATCTCAAAATTTTCTGTGTATCCCGCTCCGACTATCCACATATGCTTGTTTCTATCTCTCGTTGGGGTTGAGCTCTATTCGATTTCCCTCAAGTCTGTGTGAGCTCTTCTGACAGGAAATCGGTGAGAAAGTCATCTTACAAACAAATAGCTCTCTCTTGGACATCGACTATCAGGCAAAAGATCATTGCCGGAACATGCATGCTCATCATGCATCATGCAAGTCGGATAAAGGAAGATTCACAAATGGGGGTGGGTTTATGAGGGTGAGTCCCGCCACTACAAGATTCTGGAAGTTTCGTGGTGCTTCTCACCCGAAATGATGCGAATTATCACAAAACAAAGTGAAAGGAAAATGAAGACGTTCCGACTTGTGATCCAGCACAAAACGATTAAATACATAGAGCGAATTAAATACTTTGCACCGCCTGCGGAGGCAAAAGACATGGTATCTCTTGAGAAAAGCTCTCATCAGACGAGACTTCGCTTCGGGCAATCGTCGACGGCGAAATATCGCTCCAAGGGTTCGAGCACTTCTTCCATTGGACAGAAGTCACTCTTACAATTCATCGCTCGGATAACTTTCAGCGGAGAATAACGGCCGTCCGGGGTCAGACCTTGTGAGATCCGAATCCTCAGGACGTACTCGCCACGCTGACCATCCTCATACAACTCGAAGAAAATCGCGGCTAGGAAATCTGGTCTGGGCACCAATTCCTCGAGTTCTGGCGCCATCGCGGTCCATATGGAGCTCACGGTGACATCATGGTAACCGAAGAGGGATAGTTTCTTCATCACTCCGTCGGCGGGTGCTGCCGTCGCGCTTCTTAGACTCTGTCGGTGAGGACATTCCAAATTAGAAGGGACTAGGTTACTAGGGACTTTCTGTCAAATTCCTCGACGATCAAGCGAATTGACAAGAGCGAGAGCTACCTTCGCGACGTCTTGGACAACGCCGTGGCCAGCCGACATTTTCGTAGATTGATGGAGGGTATTATAGAGCTTGTCGGCCGCCCAATGCCAGATGGGCCACACCTCGCGAACCCATGGAGGCAGTGGGTAACCTTCCCAATGGTTCGAGATGTAAGCATCGATGACAGCGGAAAAGAAGTCGACATTGTTCATGTGATGGAGACCACTCTGCTTCTTGGCGTAAGCAATGAAATCCTCGAGGGTTCTGAATTGATTCCCCAAGTTCATCGGGATCGGCGTCGTCATTATCTTGGGGAAAAAATCACTCATTGACCATCACCGAGTCCTTCGATCCCATGAGCGAATAAGGAAATGTAGAGCAACAGCCATCGGCTGCGAGATCTGCCACACCGTGGGCTTCATTGCCGGAGACTCCTCCACAATGCACGTACCTGGGTCATATTCGCAAGTTGGGACGATGTATTGCTGTGGCAGAAATTAATGTTCTTGTCGAAGCCCATCGGTGGCTTCACTATGGGCACCGGGTCGAAGGGTAAGCAGAACTGGTGGTTTTCATGGCATGGTCCCGGGGAGAAAATTTCGAACAGGAGAGCTTGGGTGGTTTCGAAGCATCGATCGAGAGCTGAAGTTCTCGCGTAAACTTCGTTCGGATTGCCTGCGATATTGAAAGGAAATGAGACGAGCCCGGTCGACGCGAAGCGGGATGCTCACCCCAGCTGGACGCGTAGGAGGAATGGGGCGTACCTGAGAGGAATCGCGGTCTCCACCACGACTTCCACATCCTGCCAACCACATGTGCCTGTTGCAGGCCCAACAGAGTCGACTTGCCCGCGCCCCTCGGGTAGAGCGCCGGTCGTAGATAGGGATCGTTCTCCGGGAACTTCTGAGGCGCCCTGGCTGTGTGTCGATGAACGACGGCGATATGACGGAGGTTCCAACACGGATTCCGTGTCAGATTTTCTTCGCAGATCCGCAACGGAAATTCCTCCTGCGCATGCACCACGACTCCGCAGAAGAGCACCAACAACCCGGACACTTTCATCATCTGCCTCACAGGCACTTGTCTGCACACGCGGGAACGGAGTCGAACATGTAAACGAGTCGGAAAGAGAATGCTATCCGAGAAGCTTCGGAGCTGAGGGGGATACTCACCGCGTACATGAAACTGTTCACTGAAGAGCCGGGATGTCTCCACAACTTTATAGCAAAGGAATTCCGTAGAGGAAAGCGTAAGTGGAGAGATGAAGCACATGGCAAACTTCATTGTGTCCATGACGGTCAGATCGGTCGCTCGAGACCGTCTCTTGGTCAACAACAGCGACTGATGCCGCGCCGATGAGCAGAGTTCCGCCACGATCGTCGACGGTCAACGCCTTCACGCTCAACGTCCGCCGTCCACCGTGTGTGCCCGCCAGTGAAAAGCTCCTCGTAACGCTCCCCAAATCCTGAAGCTCTTCATTTTCTATTATCCATGATTACTGGTCATGTCAGGGGAATCTTACTGAATCGATGAAGGTTTCTACCGGGCGCCGCGTGTATCGATCCGCTGCCTGACTCCGACATCCGTTCAGCCGGCATGATCTGGGCGCCGATCTGGCCTCGTCTGACTCCTTGGCGATAGCTAATGAGTCTCGTTTTTCGGGATCCGGCTCGATGATACCGACTCGAAGCGAGGGAAAAGTCGAGCAAAGATTTGTTTCGGCAACCCGGAAGCTCAGGATGTCGACCATCAGATTCTAGACCGAATGAGCCCCCTTGGGGACAACGGACGATTCTCGGAGGCTGACCCGAATCCTGAATTCTTCGAAATGGCTTGAAAGATACGTCAAGCCACTCCGTAGCGTTTCTTCCTTTAAACCAGTTCCGTGGTTGCATAACGCCATATTTAGCATCTCTATCCTTGCATCGCGTGACCGGGGCCTCCGAACAATATCCGAATTGCTCGCCGTCCGCTGAAAAGATTTTCATTGAAAGCTAGCTGAGAAGACGATCCTCCTACTCGCTGCGTCTATACAAGTTCAACGACGTGTTTCAATCTTACGGTGGAGACTCGTTCAAGGTTTCTCAGAGCAAACAGATTTCACAGTGTTCGACACGAGACAGCCGATCGGTCATACGAGAAAAATGAACCGATCGAGAAGCCAGGGGAAAGGACCTGCTCGGAATTAGGGATGACCTGTCTTCTTGGCTTCTCAAGGTGAATTTCACACAGTCGATAGACTCCGACCGGGAATGACTGCGGAAAAACGACGAAAAATGATGCAAAATCGTATTGTTTATTCCTCTATCTCGCCAGGTCTGGCGCTTCGCATATCAGGCTCCTACAACACGCAGCGGTCTTCCGCGGAACACTCAGAAAGTTATTTCGACACACGAAACTTCAGAGCAGAGGGAGGGCGATCCTCCGCAGTATCTCGCTTCGAAAGCGTACGTAGCTCCCCGTTTCAGATCGCTGAAGACGAGCACATCGTTCGATTGGGTGCTACTCCACAATGTCGTGTTGGCTCGACGATATTGATACTCGTAGTCTGTGTTTGTCTGGAAAGGAATGGATTGTCAGAGCCCCGTTGTCGTGTTCCCTTCGAGCTCTCAACAACCAGATCACTTCAATCCGTTCCCCTCGATCCAGCGGACTCACCATTTTCGGATCCCATCGGAGCTCGATGCACCTGAACAGCGAGAACGCTTGGAGTCCGGTTAAAGGACCGGGAGCCGTCGTCACTTCGACCTCGCTCCCGGAGCTGCTGAAATAGATACCGTCCTCCATTTTCACCGTTCTCACCGTGATCGTGTACTTGGTCAAATCTTCCAGACCGAATAACTGAGCGGCGGTCTGCCTCGATGTGATGCTGAGGTCCAGGGGGCAGCCTCTCGGGCTGCAGCGTCGAGCTTCCACCACGTAGAACATCGCTTTCTTCACGGGGGACCAGACCAAGTCGACGTTATTTACGGTGACAGCGGTCACATTAACACAGTCGGGACTCGCTATCGATCGGTCGAGATCGTATCTCTCGTCCATTCCCGGCAGGGTTCTCGCACGGTGGAAAATCGAGGCCCCGCAGTCCTTCCAACCGACAGCACAGTATTGGATCTCGAGCTCGTAGAAAGTTGCCGAAGTCAGATTGTCGATCTCCAAACAGGATTCCATCGTGCTCAGCCATTTTTTCTGTACCGGATGCATGATCCAGACCTTGGGTTGACTCGCGAGCATCCGCTCTTTCGGCTTCCACTGCACCAGGATGCTATTCGTATCGCTGGAGCATTCGAGACTTTCGAGTTCCGAGGAAACTGCCGTGGTGGCTGTCACCGTCATCTCATCACCGGGATGGTCTCCATGGACGCACCACACCGACACGTTGTATTCCGTCAAGTCCATGAGGTTGCTTATCGTCGCGCATTCTTGATTCGCTCTGAAGCTGGAACAATGTCCATTTTCGCAGCATGCCGAGCCCGAGTAAGATTGGCACATCGGATCGCCCATCCACGTCACATTAATGTGATCGGTCCCCACGCTTGTGACGTTGAGATCACTGATAGTCGGAACCGTAATATTGGGCTGGTGATGGGTCTCTGACCCCTTGGTGGTGATATGCAAAGTCGAGATGTCACCGCAGAAGAAAACTTTAGCCCTGCAGTATTGCAGCCGAATCTCGTAGGTGGTGTTCGGCGTCAAGTTCTCGAATAAGTGGCTCGTCGAAACCGTTGAAACCCATTTCCCTTTCTTCGCTCTCAGCCAGTAGCGCGAGTCATTCCCGAACGAGTGCATGGAATTCCAGAACACGAGGACCGATGTGGCGGAAATGGGGTACCCATTCGGTTCCAGAGCTCCGATCTTCGTTTTGACTCTGGTTTTCTGCGGTGGGCTCATGAACGTGTGAAGGGCGGTGCTGACACCGATCGTGTAAGTAGTTCCCTCGAGTAGGCCCTCGATCATCGTGTGGTTAGATGGGGACGTCTGGAAGGACATTCCATCGCGACAATCGGAGCCGAGACACCAGCTGGTTATGTAACCGTCGTAGGTGCCGAAGTCGGTTCGATTCTCAGGGCTCTTCCATGACACCATGATAGAGTTCGTTCGGGGTGTGACGATCAAGTTCGAGACCATGGGCAAGGATTTGTCCAGATTCGCCAACTCCGAAGGTAGCGGAGGGGTGCGGAAGAAAACGTCTTGCGTTGCCATGCACACGCTCGGCGAACGACAGTACTGCAACTGATATCGATATCTCGTTGCGGATGTCAGTCCGTCCATCTTGAGGGACGTATCCGTTTGACTGATCCACTCCTTCATGGAGGGGTTCAGCTGACGGTGCCAGTACCTTGCGGAGGCGGGTGCATTCACTGTGGGATTCGTACCCGAGATTATCACCTAGGCTTATCTGTCAGTCGAGTATCCTCCTGAGCGCTCAGAAAATCCTCGGAGGCCACGAAAATGAGGTTCAGGATGGAACTTACTGACAGCTTCCCATTTCATGAAAGCGGATGTGGGTGAGGTAGGTCCAACCTGAACCTTCCGTGGCACTTGACCATCAGCAGCGTGGAGAGAGGCTAGAGCTCCAATTGAATACCAGAGTACCGAGAACATCATGATCGACTACTGCGATGTCAGCTCACCGCGAAGCTCCGAATCACCGAATTTATTCTCCCCTCACCCTATGGCTTATAGGAGGTCTCGTGATAGCGAAGGAAATGATCTGTCGACGGACCAGAATATTAGCAACGCAGGGCCCAGAACTCTGATGTGAGCCTGAGTTTCTCGACGGCTGACTCATTGACGCACTGGATTCAGTTCCCTTAATCGATTCTGAATGCGATATTCTCATTCGGCAAGCAAGCTCCGTAGGGTATAGTTTGTTCCAGGAAGAGTTGGGAGAAGATCCGTGAGTCATCAGGGTCGACTCCGGGGGAGCTCCCTCTGATCGAACTCCACGAGGCAGCGGAGAGACGTTGTGATATCGAAGAAAACGTCGTTTCAAGGCGAAACTCTATTCATTCCTTCGTCGGAAGCTGATTTCGACTCAAATTTCGCTATTTCCGTACGGCTCGATCTGAAATCCGACTGATTTCTTGAGGGAGGACTCCTCGGTTTTTCGGTAATATTCGAAGACTGCAGACAATCGCCTCCTATCTGTGGGTCGCGATCCTATTCGAGGGGCAGACAAGCATCCTTGCTCACGATGTGATGCGTTCAGCGTCGAGCATGGATGCGGAAAAATTCTCTTCGGCTCCCGAAGTCTCCCGAACGTGATTGTCCCATCACGTGTCCCTCTGATGTTGCTCTAATGAGCCATCGAATGATTTTCGCCTTAATGTAAAAGGTCCCGAAGAGCGTGTCCACAGCGACTGGGAAACCAATCAATCCGCTCATGACCGAATCATTGATGCATTACTGCTCATGAAACGACTCGTTTTCGGCGAGACAGCTCTACGTCATCATCTACATCGATTATCTCTGAGCAGGAAGCTGTCACAATGTTGCAGTCCGATTAGTGGAAAGGCGGCGGCTCTCACTTTCAGGATCCCGTGAGGGTCGGAATCTCAGAGCTTCCGTGATACATCGAGACCTCTCCTAGCTATCCTACCCCACTGAGAACATCAACTGAGCAAGAAACTAAGCCGACGATGCATATATCTGTCGATATTTCCCCTCGGGGCGATCATTTGCGAAGCATCGATTGGAATCTCTCAGTGTACAAGACTCTGAAAATCAAGAGGTGGGAGCCTCGGTGTAACAAATGGAACACTTTTATTCTCCAAGTTTTTCCCTCTTTTTTTCTCCGACTCACTCAACCGTACTATGAGCTGTAAAATACAATGACAACTCCTATCGTAGGAGTATAATATTATTCGCCGTCCACTTGTTCAGCTTTTCACAACACGGACGTTCCACAGGAGTCTGGTCTCTTTCAGATCTTTGACCTGTTGGGACCTTGGGAGCAACACACGTTACAGTCAATTGTGGACCTTGTACTGTTCGTGTTCCTAATTAGATTTGTGGAGCTTCGAGAGATTGATTTCATCGATTGTATTTCTTCCATTCGTTCATTAATTGGTTCACTCTGGCTAACATGAATCTAAACAGACATGATGCGAGTTTCCCGGGTTCTCTAAACATTTGGAAGATATGTTTCGCTAAATTCGTATGTCGAGAAACCGAAGTCGACCATATACACCACCACTTCGGGGATAGCAAGTTGAGAATTTCATCGTGTTCAGTTCTTCGAGTACTTGTGTCTGTCTCTGCGGAATTTTCTCCCCGCCGTGATCGAAGGGAATCCCTCTTCAAAGAAAGTCGAATCACCACAGCGGCAGCCGGGCTCGTCTGATGAACATACAATATAAGAGACCCATTAAGTAAGTCTGCCAAGATCGAAATGCAAGTCAATCACACATGTCTGAGCTGATGAAGAGGGCGCCTGAACAATCGCCTCGCACATACATTGGTAACCCCATCCGGTAGAATGATGAACTCCTCGAGTCCCTGAATGATTCCGCAGGCTGTTCCGGATTCTATATTTGACAAATTATGAACCGAGAATCGTCGTTCTCGACATTGCAGAAAGTACGTTCCCTGTGAGAATCGGGGTGATCGGGTCTTGCCGAAAGAACCACCATAGACTGTGAGAATGATGACGAATCGGGGAGTTTCATCTTTCATCGTTTGACTATGGAATAATTCGCCTCCTCTCGTGTCCGCAAAAATCCGCCACAATGATAGATTCTGCTCGCCATTAAGTCTTTGTGTGTGAGTAGAGCGATACGAACCTCGTCGTACCGAGATAAAAGACACCATTGATTGATTGGTAGATTGATTGAGTGTGCCATTCATCCACCCTTGCGGGTATTCATAGATTCTTTGTCAAGTGTGTGATTGATGAAAGCTGGTATTGATTCCCTGAATGTCAGGAATCGGTGTGTCTCTTGTTTTAGCGCTCCTTGAAATTTCGGAATTTTCAAACAACTGTCGGTCGGGAGGGTTCCCCCAATTCGCTCCGGTGCTATAATCAACTAGGGTTAATTGTGTATACTTCATCTCTGGACGAAGATCGGACGTAACTGTGGGTCCATCTGCATTCGCAGTGTTCCGATTCTCCCCATGCTGCGCGAAGCACCGTGACTCATGTGGATCGGAGTATGATGAACAAGGAAAGTCTTTTCGTCGTCGTTTGTCGAGCGTCGCGAGAAGCCGCCCGTTTGGTAAAATATTGCACTTGTAATGGAGTTCCGTTCCGTTATCTCAATATCGCTCAGACCTCGGGAACAACATCCTCGACCCGTCGTCCGACGAGAGTTCTCACGTTGGCGACGCTTCCTTCAATTCGTCGAGCACGAGTTCATTCACAAATCACAGTCTCCTCTGACGAACTCCCCTCAAGGGCTTCCATGCTAATCCTTCTCCCGCCAAATCCTGCCTATCAGCGATCGCTATCTTCTCTCCATGCTTCTTCTTATCTATGTACAATTATCACAGAACTGGCATCGCCGCCCAGTCCGTCGCGTTCTACGAAGCCGTGGCGGGAGACGCCGTCAGACCCGGGAAAGGTGGAGCCTGTCCGCTGGTAGGCGTCGGAGGATTGGATGGGGTGAGAGTCAGAGGTTCCACGTTGGGGGAAAGATCCACACCTGGCGAGAAGGGAATACGTCAAGCCGACCCGCCGCGGGAAAACGACCTTGGCAGGAAAGTCAATCGATTAGAGTTTTGAGAGTCGACCTAACGTCCGTCTGACGTACCCAATTGAAGTAGCTGTTCCGTGATGCTCTCCTCTGAGACGGTGTTCGATCCGAGGTTGAAGTCGCAAGGAGTTGAGCAGCCCGACTGCGAAGGTTTCTGTTGCGTGCTCTTGGGCATACTCAGAGCGGAATTAAGCTGTTTGTTGATAACCTTGAGTCGAAGCACCTATAAATGAATTCGTCAGGAAAAGCTCAAAGCTCCGCTCGAGTACGAGTCGTTCCGTAGCAATCGTTCCTCTACGATAATGACCCTCTAACTTTCAGTGGCAGAAACCAATCATGCGCATGCAAACAGCTCTTTCGAAGCCAGTTCATTCCAAGCTTTGGTTTTTGAGTCAGCAAGCTGCAGGCAGGTGCGAATGTTTGTGCTTCAGACAGCTTTCAGAATCCGAGTCAGCCGTGTCGTCGGATCGTCCGCGTTCCGTGCCCCGGAACGAGGAAGACCGCTCGATTGTAGAGAGACCGTCAGTATCGGCGGATCGCGTCGGCAATTCCGCAGACGATCAAGCGGACCATGCAGTAGAGTCGCGCCTAAGGGCTCTTGGTACAATCAGGTAGGGACACCGGAGTGTTTAGATCCTCACGCTCGAGTCTAGGATATCACGAGCATCTCGTTTAGCTTGCGGCCTTTGACGTTGGAGGAGAAGGAGAAGTTTTGAGGAGGCAAGCACGACAGGATCAATGGCAACAACATCATCGACATCATGTCTGACAGATTAATTGCGCTGGCCACATCAACATCAACAACACTAGCGAGGAAGCCTAAATCTTACATGATGGGTTTCACATGTCGAGTTGCTACAGTAGGCTTTTATAACATGACTGATCGGAGTATTTGAGGCAGCTCCCTGAGACGATCAGAGCGCTTCCCTCAGAACGTTCCAGGTTCCCATCCTGCGGGGGTGAGTGGCGAGAACACAAGGAGGTTGGAAGCGACCTGCTTGTTATTCAAGTCCAGCTGGAATCCTGACCGCTGCGAAGCCAACCATCGCTTTGATTAGCTTACCAGTCGAGCTATGACTTCCACGAATTCCCAGAACCCACGGCTCGCTAAGAACTTTCGCAATCTGCGCTGAGCGCTCGTCCGACCACCGTAGACTTCCGCTTTACACTCAGATACTCATAGTATCTTTCTCCGAGATCTGGCATCACCCTCCTCCGATGCGCACCATTGATTGGCAAGCATCATCATGCTTCGAGGGCTGTAGTTGACGGAAGACGTCGTTCCGGTCAAAAGAAAACAAGAACGGGAATAAAAGCGGCTCTCCGGCCCTAAGATGCTGTCACGACGCGTTGCTTCTCGCATGTGACCTCGCGTGACATCAGATCGATTCCTCCTCGCGATTGAAGAGGGAATCCCGGCTCGCTCACAATGCATGGAAGCAGTGACTGACTGAGAAAGACGGGGGGCAGAGATAGAACACAGATGAATAAATAGGAGAGCGGGAAGAGTGAGCTGTTCGACTTCGGCGGCCATGTGCGCATATCGCTGCTGCTGCTGCATCTGCGCGCGGTGGATTTGTGTATTGAGCGCTTGTGCTCTGGTGCTTCGGTTAGCAGGATGCCGCCCACCCAAAGTAAACTGGTCATTCTGGAACACATCCATCCATCCATTTTCCCACCCATACATACACCAGCCTACCCACCCATCTACCAATCAACCAACCAGCGTTCCAACCCTGCGTCCCATCGAGACAACCACATTCAACCAGGGGTTAAATACCGATGAGACCAGACTGCGAATTCGAACCGAGGCGTCGATCTGTCGCTTCGCCGCTCGAGAGAGAGCCGCAAACTCCAAACACGAGCCTCGGTCTGATCCCCGCAGTTAAAGACTTCTCCCGCCCCGGGTGAGTGAGTTCGCGTGCTCACGTTCCGCATACCTCTGCTTTGGTGTCCGACAACTTGTCTTGAAGGTCTTTGACTTCGTCCGAATCTGAACTGCCTTTACTCAGTTCTCCAACGGTGACCAACTCTTGGTTCTGGGAACAGATCGGAAAACCTCACTATAAGATGAGCTCAAGGAGTGGGAGGGGTAAATCCCCGACGAACGTGAGGAGCGGAAAGCCTCATAATTTTGAAGTTATACCTTGATTTCAAGACTAGAAATTCGTTGCTTGAGCTCGGCGATCAGCTGGTCCTGTTCACACTCTTTGATTTTTGAGTTCATTCGCTCTTCTTTGAGAGTTCCTTCAAGGTCGGTGTACTTTCTCGTCGCCTCGCGGAGCTGAGACTCCAATTCGCGCTCTCTCGTCAAACTCTTGTCCTTCTCTTGCTGCAGAGTCTTCAGTTCCTCTGCCTGTCGCCGGACCTGATTGACGCTAACTTGGTTTTGAGCTTCGAGTTCCATGACCTTCGCGCGGAGTTCTTGAACCTCGGCCTGGACCTCGGCTTCGCGTAGTCGCAATGAAAGAATTTGTTGCTCTAGTTTTGTGGCTTCGGGCAGATCGGTGATCTGGGCCCCAGTCTGCTCGATGTGCTTCTGCCAGACCAACTGGAGATCCGCGATATTTTGTTTGAGTTCCTTGAGTCCTAAGTGCGCCTCTGCCTCACGGAGTTTCACCGCGATGAGTTCTTCTTGGAGAGCAGCCACCGAGTTCTCGGGTGTCGGCTGCTCGTGGAGTCGCTTGTTCTCTGTCTCCAGTTCTTCGATCTGGTTCTGTAACTGCTTCATCGTCTCCAAATTTTCGGCTTCGCGCAATTTCACGGCCACCAATTCGTCTTGGAGGGCGCGCGAGAGGTCGTCTGAGGTTGAACCGTTGGTCAACGAGCTCGGGTTCGACTGGGACTGGGGAGGAAGCTCGACATTATTCTCAATACACACGAAGCTTCAGGATCGGGGTTCGGGTCATCCGACAGAGGGATTTCGAGGAAGATCACAAATTGACGCCCAAAGAGGAGCAACTGACCTGGATGAGTTCCTGAACCTTTTCTTTCTGATTCTCGAGCTCCATCGAAAGATGCAGTCCTTGTTCTTTGACGGCGGCTAGCTGCCTCTTGATGAAATAATTCTCTTCTGTAGCTTGAGCGTGATCCACCTGGCCTTGGATGAGCCGATCGGCGAGAGACGAACTCTCCTGCGGAACGAGGATCAATGTTACAACGAGTCGACGGTGGATGCTTCGTCAGATAGAGAAGAAAGCTCACGAGGGACAAATACCAGCATCCATTTATGGACGGCTCCCATCTGGTCGTAATCCATCTCGACAACAACGACAACAACACAACAGAGTATAAATTTCTGCCTCGAGAATGTCGGTTCACCACGAGACACTTCCGACGCTACTCGGAATGCTCTTGCCACATGCAAACGTCATCAGATGATACTTTCGGTACGCTACGAAAAACAGACACGCAGCCCGGCGGTTCGCATGGCAACGCCCTGTGGCTGTGCCTACGACTGCGTGACTCAATGGAGAGGGTGGCGTGGTCAAAGGTGAATTATTTAAACGTAATAATGAACACGCCACATCCCTCGACTATGCTTCGTGTCATCCCCGAGTTAACATGTTATCTTCGTCGAGTCGAGACCTACCTGTTCGAGGTTTTCGACGCGCTGTCGCAGAATTCGATTCTCAGTTCTCAATCGGCGTAACTCTATTTGTTCCTCGGTCTCGCGAGCTTTGATCGCTTGATACTCTTTCTCGAGTTTCTTCATTCTCTTTGCGTTGTATTTAACTTGGACGGCGAGGCTGACGAGGTAGTCAACGTCGGTGGAAACTTTGGACGGCATTTCCTTCTGGAAGTACTACAGACGACGACTCGATGTTAGACTCGAATCGTACGTAACGGGAGATTTCTGAAGGGCAGAATATAATCTCATTTCATGGATCAATTGTGGCGAGTCTGATCATGGCGAGCTAATTTGCTCGCCATAATCAGCTTCGAATAATTTCTGGCTGCGAACCTTGATCATTTCTTCCATGTCGAGGAGCAGGATGTCTTCCTTGCAGATTTGCAAGATCGCAATCCCTAGACGGAATACCATTTCGATGCCTTCGCTGAGGAATAGATCCATGCAGCGAGTTGCCACCGGCATGGGTAAAACGGACGTAAACAATGTCAGGAACCAGGAGGACGCGTACATCGACGTGTGGAACGACTGTGACTGGAAGTGCGTGTTGAGCTCCGGGAGCAGTTCCTGCACGAGGCATTCCAATTGGAACATATACAATCCCAACTCCGCCATCGAAGGTTTGTAGACCTGCAGCGAAAGCGACAGTCATCGGAAGCTGCTCGAAAGTGAGGCAGTCGGGGTCGACTCAGGAATTTTCATGTCAGCATCGCAAATCGAAGAGGGAAATAAACGACTCACATCTCGGAGCCTGTAGTCGCTCATCATTCGGACAAGCACTGTGAAAGTTTCGAGTTCAGGCATGTACAGCAGCAACAAACCCACGATAAAAGCGCTGCCCTGACAGTAGCCGACTTCGCGGTCGTGCAGAGAGTACGCCTTCATAACATTGAACAGGGCTTCCTGGCCAGGCCCATTCTTCTCGCGGAAAAACTCCTGGTCGGGATAGGTGCGTGCGATGTCTCGTCGTATCACCTTCTCGCACGGAGAAGTGCCCTTGAGATAATCGTGATACTGATCTCGAGCGTTGCATGTCGTCGCGTTTGTGAACAGTTGCCACGCCACGGCTCGGAAGTCCGGCGGAATCCCTTTGCGAACCGCATCCTGAAAATAAGTTTCCGGAGTTCACAGGCGAACTTTTCCACTAGGAAACAGGAAATTGCGATACGATGCCAGAATACATTCGGATGGGCGTGGGATATCGCTGAAGCGTTTCCGACCACGTGGAACGTTCCGGTCGCTTTTTCTCGCATCATCGACTGTCGGGTCAGCTTCGTGCGATGATTACTTGTCGCCAGTGTATTCACTGCGGTCTCATCAATGACTAATAATCGAGCGGCATCAGACAGATGCGTGAAGCTCCGCAGCCATCACCCGTCGTGGTCAGGCTATCAACCTCTCTAAGCGTTAATTACGTCATTGGGAACATGCATGACGACGCTTCAGTCTCGCCAGTCATGCGTGGAACACTGATTCCCAACATTCCAAAGTTCGACAACGGTGCTCCCCATCAGAGGAATCATCGTGCTCCGCTGATCGCGACTATCCTACCTTGAGGACGTCGGGTTTTCGCTTCCTGAGATTCTCGTAGTCCTGGACCAGTTTCCCCCATTGCTGGAGAAGATCGTCTTCTGTGTCGTCCATGGAATTCGCGCCCGATACGTTGCACGAAGATCCGTTCATGTTAACCGAGATTTGAGATGTGTCAGAGGATCGCCGCGAATGTCCGGTCGATGTTAACGATGACAAGGATTTTGCGTCCTTCTCCAGAAGCCTTGAGGGAAATCATCGAAAGTCAGTGGATCGTCAGGAAATCTATCCTAGAGATTCGGTTAGATTCGGATCCGCGCAAGGTTTCCGATCGTGATGAGGGGAATCCCGAAGGGTGCATGATCGACTATGAGCCGTCTACGATGTATTTGACGTGTTGTTTCGTGATTATTGACGTTGTAGAAGCGAACAGCGACGGTATAGTGAGAGAAAGGGGTGCGAATGGATGTTGGTGCAGACGGAGGAGTTTCGGGACAGGAGGCCTACCGGTTGGGGGTATCCGGTGTGGGGCGGGCGGACTTATCGGGATCGCTTTAATACAATCGGCTATGATTATCTATCGACTGTGATAATAATGATATCAACGGGCACACGAAAAGATTCCGCTTCCGAATATTTCGCTCCTGACGAATCTTTTCCATATCGGAAATGCGCTGATTTGGAGGCAGCTGCTCTCTAACGGAGCTCTATCAGGCGAAGCAGCGTGACGAAATCTCGCCAGGGTCGAATTTAATTCTGGAATGCGAACTCGGAAGACAGACGTCGGGGCTTCTCGACAGATCCCGCGCTCGTTCCGGCCGCAGCCGGTCGTCCATCTGGTCGGCGTCATTGTAATTCCCCCACTCGGATGATATCGCAGACTTGCTTGAAATTTACGTAAGCAACCTGTGCACACGAGCGGCGCAGAAGCTGCAGTTATCTTGCGACAGCTAGAACTTTCATGACTCAGACGGTGAGTCATTCAAGTTGCCTGCAGCCAGACGACGTTGCCAACTGGTTCCGCAGCAAGAAATGGATTGAAGCGTCGAAAGGAGCATTCAACGCAACCGCCGACGAAGGTTTCCTCTAGAGCGGCTGGGCGAAAACAAGCGGTTTTCTCTGTCACCGAGGCAGATGGCCGCGATTCCTAGTTGGAGACGCTCGTCTTCAAGGCCCTCTGCGCAAAGCTAGAGCCGGCGACATAGTCCGGATGCTCGTGACCATCGGTTCGTTGAAAGATCTCTCCCCCTTCGCTCGTGCCCGGCTTACGGAACTCCGGACCCCAGCACTTTCGGCTAACTAAGTTAGTATCTTCCACTCCTCATGAAAGACGAAAGAGCAGACTGCAGGCCAGTGCAGACGGCAAGTTTTTGCCTAGCGCGAAGTTCTCCGATGGTCCGAGGAAATTACCCTCGCGCGACTATGACGACATTGCTGCAGGGACGGTCGAACAAAAGCACAGCAGTCGCCAAGGTCGATACACAGAAAATCGAAGCCTTCGGAAACAGGAGTGACCTCTCCTAAGCGCAAGGCTCGTTTACAAGCTCCTCATCCATGCAGCGTCTTCCGGTTGGAAAAAAACGCGAGACGGAATTCTCAAGAAGACGGTCTGAGTAATCGAAAATTTTAAAAATCGGAAGCTCGAGAATGGCCATTTACCGATTCTGTTCTTCGAGTTTTTGCAGGAGTGCTATCTCGTCTTTGGATACATCCTTGGTTCGGCTCAGGTCCCCGTTTAATTTCCTGTGACAGGGGCTGCTTTCGACGGACACTGAGCTGTTCATGCTCCCGTCAGGAGATCCAGATTCTGACCTGGAACGAGAAGATAGTTAGGAAAGCGCTCGTTGAGCCGACCCCTCCCCCCTCCCCCCACCATAGCCTCATTGGGGTCAGTGGTATCTTAGATTGAAGAGCGCACTTCATGATTTCTGGTGGGCACCGATGACGACACGCGAATTCGGGCCCGCATCTGATTATAAATCATGATGCGTTTTTCCGCCGTAATTATAGAGGCTCCCCGAACAGACCGGCTACCACTAGCTACGACATCTCCCTATCACTGCCCGAACATCAAGTTCCAGTCCCCGCGCCCGTTGGGGAACCGCATCGTAATCCCGGAGCTAATTCCCTCAAAGCTCCATAATCTCGCCGCTACCGCCGGCTCCCAAGCGAGCTTCCATCCGGCCCTCCGAGCCGCGTCCCAGATTTCTCCCGATGCCGTTGTCTGGCCCACTTCGCTTCCGTAGGAAGTTGAAGTTCCGAACGGCATGCTACGCGTGGCCAAGCACCGCAATCCGCAAAGTAGGCGAAGCCCGGCAACTGAACGAAAACATATTCATTTCTCTTCTGGATATTATGGATCCGCCGAGGGCTCTCCCTGCGCGTTCAATATCGTTGCTCGAAGGTACATCGAGCGACGTAGTCTCGGTCGAGACTCCATGAGTAATCGATGGCTCTGTACCAGCTCCGACGGACTCTTCCGGCAAGGGGTTTCGAGCCGGAAAACGTCCGCCTCCCCTACACCAACGAAGCGATTTGTCTCGTTTCCAGTGCCATAACATTTGATAACATTTGTTGCCGCTTCGAAAACACTGCCACACCCCTAAGCTCATATTCGCCTACTGAGAGCGAACACTATATGTTTTCCTGTACCTATGTGAGCGCATATCTCAGTGCGGCAGTGCTCACGCTATCCTACTCGATGATGCCTCGCAGAAGTTTTTCTTGGCCTGAGCAGCAGATTTCTCGGGAAACCCCATCTTAGAAGGAAATCTTCATCTTTAGCTCCTCGGCAGAGCATGGCCGATAAACTATGAAACACGGTATAATTATCGAGTGCAGTCAGCGCAGTGAACCGTGACGACCTCGAGGAAAACTTCGAATAGTCAGACGGCATGTGCAAGACCGCTGGATGCACAGTAGTCACAGCAGAACCCCGGATTCCTCGTCATTCGATCAAGAATGCTGATCACAAGGTAGGGGCACCGAATATATTACTAGAGAGAGAATTTCACCGAGCAGCTGGTCGTATCCGTCCGTCGTAAGCATCTTCCAGACAGCCAGAGAATCCATTAAAGCACCGCTTAAACGAGCGAGCTTTGAACTTTTCGGAAGAAGGGTCCGCTGTCCGTCCTTTTGTTAATTCGGCGAGCGGGTCGGCCGAGACGTCGGCCACGCCAACGGGGAAAAACACACCGGAAGCGTTTAGTGAACAAATGGTTGGAAGAAGCATTACACGGTTTTATATTATTGTATTTGCCCTCAGATTCTCGCATCGAGGCATTATTGGAACGCCTCAATACGTTCCGACTCCAAAGTGTAAATTTCGGGACGTGCGTTTTCCGCAATAGGTCCTCTCTGAATCGCTTGGCGATAATTCGACTTCTCGTGTTGCAACACGTCTAGGAGCTCAGCTGTTCGAATCTAGTTCGAGTTCTGTAGAATGACAGCTGACTTCTCACGATCGGAGCATCTCCGTGTCCCAGCGACCTCATTGCGAAAGGGATACGCTATCGGTCAGAGTGGAAAATGAGCTCGGTCGCTTGAAGGAAGTTCCCGCAGACAGCCGCGCCACCTTGAGGAAGTTCTCTTCGGAGCGGAAGGCATGTCGCGGTCGGGTCGATTCATACGCGAACGAAATCGCTGTACGAATTCGAGACTCTCTTTCGGAAGTCCCCCGAATTCTTCTTGAGCTCCCGCCTCCCGGAGACGACGACAGAGCTCGGGAAGCCTTGGAAGCTGGCAATGGTGAGAAAAACTAGCGAGCAAGCGGGCAGTCAGTCAGGTGAGCGAGCATCAGCGGCTGCCGCCAGCTAGGTTTCCAGCGAAGTAGCGAGCGTTCCAAGGACCCTGAGCGATGACTCAACGAGGTTCCAATGGAAGCGGGTCTTTTCACCAAAACAAAGCTTTTTCCAACATCCAGTTTTGCTCTCGTTCATTTTCGCTCGCAGAACTGAGCCTGGAATACAGCCATATATGGAGACATCGATCCACGGGCGAGCCACCCGTACCTAGATCTCAGCGAAGATACACAGCGAGCGCATAGCCGCGTTCGTGCGGAGCGAGTAACGGTAAATTCCGTCTGAGCACAAGCTGAGCCTACAGGAGGCGAGACGGGTCGCATGCCCTTATCGAGGTCCAGCATCTCAACCCCACCGCGGGTTTCCGTAGGATTCGCACATTTTGAAATCATCGTACCTGATTGAAACGTCAATATGGTCTAGCGTCATCCTTGAGCGCGCTGGAACCGACTCCGAGCAACGAACGAAGAGACTATGCTTGAAGCTACAAATATCCAATCGCAAACGATGCGTTCAGTTCGATCCACTATCCGGGGAAAATGTTAAAGCTGTAGAACTTCAGTCGTTCGAAACCAAGCACTGCACCTCACCGCTCCATAGTCCGATCCGACTCCGCGTCTGACTCGGAATGATCTGCGGAATCGCAGACTTCAGCGACACAGCCGCTCGAGCGGCGCGCGCAGCTCCGACGTCACGAAGGACGACGGCAGCAGAATAGCCAGACGGACCGAACGAAAGCCGCGAGCGACCGACCGACGAACGGTCAGACGCTCGGACGCGCAAATTGTTGTGGAAGGACTCGTAAACGAATCGTCCGACTTCGCATGCGCACAAACTTGTGACATGGAGCGAGCAGAGGTGGCTGCGGGGATACTCCTCATCGCGATTCCCTCCTCCCTCCAGTTTCTCAACTCCGCCAGACAGGTCTCCGAGATCTTCCGGGTTCGGAACAGTCCCATACGGACTCAAAGGGGGCAATGAGCGATCCATGAGCACAAATTGACGCCGACTCATGAGGCGGGTCGCTGGTCCTGACAGCAGCTGGGCACGCTCTTTTATAAGCTGTTGCTCAATCATTGTTCCCATGATCAGCCGAAAGGGATGTCTCGGGAGGAGCCGTAAGAGAATCTTGGAATCTTTCGACCGATCAGAGCATCACGACTTGCTTACTTCATAATCTTAAGATGAACGAGGGGGAGCACGTGATCACTCCCTCAAATGATCAGAAGGGGGGGATTGAAATTCTTTCGGGAATGCATACGGCTGCCATGGGAGCGAGCAAAAGAATTCATCTCCGACTCGCAAGGCGACTCCAGTACTTTCCGATACGAGTTGTGTCCCAAGGCTGCTGCGGGGATCTAGGTGGCTAGTTTCGCTCACAATACAAATAGCACAGCTCGTTCTTCAGAATCCAGCCGAAATCGCCGCCTGCCCATCAATGGCAATAGCTTTGAATCAAGCCACTCAACAAAGTCTTGACGATTCGTTCGACAAAAAAATAACAAACTATTACTCCCAGGGAAGATCTTGTTAGTGGAGAGTCCCTGACCGGAGCCCATACAAGCTAACCGTCTGAATAGGAGAAGCGGATATTTTCCATCACATTCTATTCAAAGGTCGGGCCTTCCTGAAGGGCTCTACAAATCGTGTGATCTCCGCCGATCTGTCATATGAATCAGAGATTAGAGAGAGAAGCTCCTCGAGATTGCTCGGCAGAGGTCAGTCTGCTCTGAGGTGATGACCGCCGTTTTCTTCCCCATGCTCAGGAACCCACGTCTCAGCTGCTCCCTGCATGAAATGGACTTTCAGTTTTCCACCCGGAAGCGATTCGTATGCTCTTGCAGCCGATGAGAATCGACTATTCACATCCTCTTCCATGTCCTCTTCAAAGAGGTTGGATCATCGCTGGGATACGTCAAGCAGAGACAATCCGGATTCTCGCTCTCGACAAGGAGTAGTCTACCTCCTTCTCGTGGAATGAAGAGACTGATCATTCCCGAACTTCGCATCCTACGGAGATAAGATTCTCTGCTTCTCAGAAGTCATATCAAGCAGGTCGTTCCCTACAGCGTCACGAGAATCCCAACAGTCCTGAGCGAGAGAACTTTATCAACTGCATTTCTCAGTGTATTTCGATATTCAAGCGTCTGTTCGCTGCCACCCAGACAGTATGTATTATACATAGAATGAATCTGCATCGATTCTGCGGAGATCGTGCTCTCTTCGAAATCAGAACGAGAGGTCCCGATAGCGATATGATATGGAACTGCTTCTAGGGAACCAATATCTCAATGACTGGCACCCTGATTCGGACGAAATCGAGTCAATCCATCAGCTGCGGCGTGAAGTTCTCGATTCATCTTGTAGGTCGAATCTCGGAAGCTTGTAATCGGTAGTTCACTCCGAGATCTACGTGCGCGGGAAGACGAGACTTTCTCTCACAGACACAGACGGTGTTCTGCAAGAATATCCTCGAAGCCAATTCCATGATTTTGTGATCTCCCTCTACGCTCTCTGGTATCCTATGGGGAAATCTTCTGGAAATTCATTGCAATTTCCTCCGAACGGATGAATGCTGTTCCATACGAAATCCGTCTCGAAATCTTCAATCCTCCCTTTGGTTCCAACGTCGGATTTCCCCGTCGTCGAACCGCATCGCTCGCTAGGAGTAGTTCAGCTCTGAAGGGACAGCTTCCATTGAGACACTTGTGGCCGACGCAGCCATAACTTCAGAAGAAATGCGAAGCGAAACTTCCCAAACTTGTTTCCAATTCTGAAACTTGCCGGGTCCGACGGAACCTTGAACGCGGTTTTGGATGCAGCTCGGCGAGTTGCACCAGCCAAGGCTGGCTCTAATGAGAGCGGCTGTCAGCCATTCACTAATTCGATGCAAACGTTTTATATTGCATCAGGTTCCCTACGCGCGTGATCAGAAAACACGCTCATTGAAATCTCATCGATTCACAGAATAGTTGGTACATGTCGCCAGCAAGATCCTCCGCAAAGTTCCAGCGGTTTCGTCTAGGAGCTACGCGTGCGTCCATCGGTCGACTTGTACCACGATGCCGATACCATACCTCAAGTTTCTGGCGGGCGATTGTTTTTCGCGGAGCGCCAAGAAAGTCTCGAATCAGCGGTCTCGAATGCCATCGTGCGTGGCTGGTCTGGCGAGATAACGTCGGATGGTTTCCCCACTGGGACCTCGGTGCGGGAAGTCCTTTGTGGACAGGAGAAGCTCCCGAATCAGAGTGAAGAGATCCGACCGGCGAACCTAGTTTCTCCGAATCCAACGGAGCCCCGGAGGCGGAAAATAATTGCTCTCGACAGAATTCATTCACGCGTTGATTCTTGGTCATACATGAACGGGTCCGAAATTCGGAAACGTCCCCGTGAAGTTTTCCCGAACGGGAGATCGGAGGTTCCGCCGAGCCTCCGGTGTCACTTCTTACTGCTCAGTTAGAGATTGATCGTAAAGGCTTTGTTAGAGTTTTTTTTGAGAAATCAGGGGGATTTCCGGATCGAGATGGCTCAGGCCGGGATTAAGACTCGAAATTCAAACGGGGCCACACCCTTGCAGCAACAATCCGGGACTTTTTAGGGTGACATGATCCTCGAATCAACGGAACGATTGTCTTGACGACTCAACGATCAACTTTTCGCACTGGGTGGAAGTCGTGGTAGGAGTTGCTCAGCCGGGTGTCTGTGACGATCAAGGAAGATTTTTCTCGCGGGAGGAATCATCCCTCCCTGATCAGCTGGCTATAGGCAATCTCGTTTTTCTGCTCGAAACTTCCGGACGGAATGGCTCCCAACCGACGGAAAGCGTCGCGACAGAACTTCTCAACATAGTTCGAAACGGCATTAGGAACTCGCGGGGTTTTGACTCGGGGAGAGTGAGAAGCGAGCGACCGAACATTCGCGACTACCATGCGAGGTTCGGCGAATGAATTAGTTGCGCTTGTTGAAGTCCGCAGTCGCTCTTCCACACAAGTTACGTACCAAGTGAATTGGTTGCGAAGGATTTGCGGGACAAAAGCAGGTAGAACTGGCATGGCGAATCCTTCACTCAATCGCTCACGTCAACATAGCCTGCAAACGAAACATGAAGAGAAAAATAGAAAACTCAATTCACGATAAGCTAGTGATGGAAATCAGAAATGGAAAGATCAAAATCTGGCTCAAGAAGGATCTAGAGCCCAACCAGCGCCTAATGGATGAGCGAAGCGAAACAAGGGGGAACGGAATCGATAAGCGCATCTGGAATACGGGACAACCGAAGACAATTGTCAAGCTGAATTCTGGAATTCATAGCGAGCCGCCTCCGAGCTCAATTCCCGCTCTGGCCGAACGAATCATTCCTTGCGACTTGATCCTGGTTAGTCTCATTGATTTTATAATTCTTCCGCAGCTTGGCTTTGAGAAGATTGCCTGATAAACTTTGAGCGCTTCTTAGACGGAGAGGCGGCGACTTGACGGGTTGCAAGGGGGCAGATTCTTCAGAGGGAGATTCAACGGATCTGTCAGAATGACAAAGCTTCATGAGAGGTTGTGGTCCCATGACAAACTCGCGCGAAACTGCGCTCGGAAAAATTCAATATCGTCAACGGAAAGCCTGAATGCTGATACTACTCCGTCAGCGGAAGAGATGGATGTCGTATATACTTCGCCCCAATACAATGGATGCGTCACATAGCACAGCTCGCGGTGTGGTATAGACCATGATCCATCGAGACTCGAGTAACTTAGGCTCTCTGGCGGCTCCCGAAAGCTACAATCGCTGCTGTCCCACCCTCCGTGGACTCACTCCGAATTCGCCCACGGCTTGAACCCGGCCATATCGTCCACGGCTTCTCCTCGTGAACGAACAGGGCGGCTTCCCGGATCGGGCCGGGCCGAGCCGGTCTGATTAAAAAGTCTCAGGCGTGGTCCCGCCGGAGACCCGAACCTGGAGGAGGAGCGGCGATGAAACGCAGCGAGAGTTTGGCGTATCTTGGAGTTGGCCCCAAAATGGATCGTACTGCTGGGTGACTCGAAACTCCTCTCAGCAATTGTACCGCAACGGAATGTCATGCGAATCATGCGTCAGGTCACACCGCAGAACGCTTAACTTTATTTGCGACGATCGGAAACAAAGAACCGAGTTCAGATCAGTTCCAGGCGCCACCACGCCAAGCTGTCCCTCTTTCGGTCGAAAGAAAACTACCATGCGTGATCATTTTCAGGCTGGTCGAGCACAAGGGAGCCGCGACACCTTCCTTGCGAATTCCGTGTCCTTCTCGAATGTCTCAGGGAGCGTTCGAGGCAATCGATACGGAGGAACACGACAGTCGTCGGTATAAATACCTCCCGCTCGTCGCCTGCGGAGATCTCCCTGCCTTGCGTTCCCTCGTTTCAGGGAGCAAAACTCTCGGGGGTCCCTGTGAGTGCGGGGCCCAGAAATCAAGAAAAAAACTTTCCAAGGGGGTTTCCGTAAGATCAACTCTAGCAGCATCCTCGTCAGGGGTGTAGGGAAATGGTGTCCGGAGACGAGCAGCGGAACAATCAGATTTGCAAGAAGACATTTTTCGCCCGTTCCCTGAGCGTTTCGTCAGAATCCCCCGTCTGAAGTGTCATCAGCCGGGGAACACTCGTGTGCCAATCGCTGCCGGCCGCTTTTCCGCCTTTTCGGTTAGACGCTGCGGAACACGCAAGCCAGGCACCGCTACAAAGCGTTTTGCCCTCAGTTCCTCCACCGACCCTCGCTCTTTTGATAGAGGAATCGCATGCGTCTGTCGAAAGAAGCGGTTCTTCACATGGGAGCCGATTATAAGCGACGAAAAGGAACCAGAAAACTGGGCGATCTCCGGGAAATCATGTCAGTGGCGAGAATGGAGCTCTGTAGAGATTCCTCCCAGACTCCCAGATTTTTTCGGGGGCTCGCACGTTTATGGATTCAGAGAGTCGATGGAACCATCAATTCGCTCCGAGTTTGTTTGGTTGAGAAGAAGCTCCTCCAGCAGTGTTCGAACAGATCTCGGGGAGCATCTGGCTCCCATCATCACAACCACATACAGTCGTCGAGACGACGCGACATCGCGCTCGTGTCGCGTTCGAAGTGAAAGAGAATTGTGACTTCTATGTGCACCAATACATTCACGGATCGAACGAGTAGCTTTGGGAAAATCTACGCAGACGTTCTCTTTGCCGATCCGCGTATTCGTACCGCTCGCGTCGTCCGTTGGGTGTTTCGACCGGCCAATCGGTCGCCGGCAGTCACTCGACCCGCAGTAATAGAAGCGAGTCGATCGACCCACGAAAGCTCTTGTCAAAGTCCCGGCGTCTACGGTTAAAACTCCCACTTGTCCCGAACGATATTCACCACCAAATGTGATAGAGTCGACTGACCAGATCGAAAAACATTCGAACAGTATAAGACCATCATGGAGATTTTTTCTCGATCGATTGCAGCCCTCATGATGGCCCCGATGGGTCTCCGAGGCGAGAATTACCTCTCGAATTATCCGGACGATCGGGTCATTCCCCAGCTCCGAATTTCGCTGGAGTTCTTCAGGGGGCTCAAAACTGTTTTCCTCCTGGAAAAATGGAAAAATCGCTCGTCCGACCATCGGCGAGCGCACACGTAATAGCGATCCGACAAAAACCGACACAGGCGCGTCGAATAATTGTTGCGGCGCAGAAAAGGGACAAAGGCGTGTTAGTATACACCTCCGACCCAGCCTGGCTGTGGATTCTTCAACGCTCCGCCTTGAACGGGACCGCGCGAAAAGGTTTTTTGATGAGCCGGAATCGACGACAGTGAACGTCCCCTCCACCACATTTATGTGCGTCGAGGCGGTCGAAAAAAGATTCCTCTCGCGAAATCCATTTTCGTTGGTAGTAGATATCGAGACAGAGAGCATCTAGATTGTAGCTACCGAATCCCATCGCACATTGGTCGCAGAGATAGACTCGCTCCACAAAATGAGCGGTGTCCGTCGTCGATGTCATCGGCAGAAAATATGGCGTGCTGGATCGCCTGCTCTGTTTATAGTTTTTTTTTCCCGCTGACGCGCGCAAAACGCTCAGCTCACAGACTAGACGCAATCAGATTTCCGAAAATCTGTGTAGAGAGTCAGAACGAGCGAACGTCACCTCCGATGTCTTGCAAATCCATGCAGTAGACGCTTTCCCCAAGAAGCCTCGACGAAAAATTCTCTGCTCCCGTCGGACCATCGTGTGAGCCACCGTTGTCGTCCGAAGCCGCTGTACAATTTTCCACCGCGCCCTACCGATCGATAGCCGCTCTGATGCGATGCTATGGACAAGCCGAGAAAAACAAGTGTTTTCAAGTTCAGAAAACTGTCGCACCGTGAAACAAACTAGAAGTGAAGGTCGCTCGGCGGGAGCCGTTCAATGTCTTACATTCAACAGCGCAGAAGATCGACGGCTACGGGGTAGCGACTTATTCAGAATCGACGTCGAGTATTTTCTCTATCAGAGATTGAGACCTTGCCATTCATGACCACAGAGTATCGCCTCAGAGTTTACCGAGCATCAGCTCCAAGATATTTTAGTGCTGAGCGGGGGATTAACCCAACGAGTTGAGCTCTGTTTACAAAGTTTCAACCAGTCGATGAGTTGACTGACAAAGTATTCGATTGTAAATCTTCTTTAGCTTCGACCGGAGCATACGTAAGCGACAACGATGGGGCGCTATTATGTAAGCATTCCCGGATCGTTTACGAATAACGGAAGCGTCAGGCGTCAGGAAGCAAGTGAACCGAAAGACAGCGACGACACGAACGGCGGACACAGCCAGACGCTTCATCAGCTGTAGATCTGCTAGACGGGCTAATCTTCAACAGTCTCGTAGGCCAAAGGCGTTATCGAACTATTGACCGCGAGTCAGCTAGGGGAGCACGCTTCCGCGTTGCCAGCAATAAATTATTCGAATTCCCCTCAAATCGGAGCATGGCCAGGAAGGTGGGCCGCTTCGTAGCAAGCTTCGAATCAGCTGATCAAGACCTTTCTCGGCCAACGGAAACGCTGTCATGTACCTTTCCGGCTTTCTCACCTTGACTCAACCACAATATCCACAATGAGAGATTCGAGATTGAAAGCACAACCGATCTTGACGCCCAATAGGCAAAGCTCCGTTAAGCCACTCACCGTCATTTGACTGATCAAGAGCGAATGGCAAATCTCTAGAGTGAGAGGGTCGCGCGCCGTCCTCCAGGACGATCGCCGAGCTATCCACAACTCCAGAACGATGGCTCTGTATTCCCGCGGATGGGAGCCTGACCGCCGGTGATCGAAACCGAGACTTCCGAACCGCAGCTCTGACCCAGATAGTTCCCCACCCATTCAGCACAAAGCCCCAGAACGGTAACGGCTCAGGGAGAGCGACTCACCGTTTGTTCGACGTACTATCCTCGAACGCGCGGAACTAAAACACTAAACACTAAGGCAACCGTCTCCACTCTGGGAGGAACGAACTCAAACGTGAGACGGTCCCGATGGACGGAGGTTCGGAGCTCCACCACGGCTCCGAATACAACAAGGGACTCCTCACACTGTCGGCCAACTGTGCTGCTGCCACTAGCCGTTCATTTTGACGCACATGCGCAGCTGCGAGTCGGCCACCGTCGTAGCCGTGGTCGAGCAGACGACGAAAACCCGCGGTAGTTTCCCGAAGCGACCACCGTTAGACAGCGGCGGAGGACGCGATAGATGAAACGGATTGGTGAACTTCCGAATTCAAGCGTCCAAATGGAGTATTAGCGTGGGCTCCGGGTCGAGAGATAGAGAACAGCGCTCATGACGCTCCCCCATCGATCGGCAAATTCAGCTTTGAGTCGTCACTGGTGAGACGTTTCCATGCCTACCGATCGACAACCGCGATCATCTTACGGAACGGCATTCATGTACCCATCTGCCAGACTTGGAGACTTGGAACCATTCGACTCCAGATACATATTGTCAAAGAATGCAGATCTAGCAGAGTTAGGAGCGATAGCGCGATACCCTCTCTGTCAGCCCCGCTCTCTCCCTTTCCTTATCCAAAACGACGTGG